CAATCTAGTTAGTGCTAGTAGTAATACCAATGTACCTAGTACCAGTACTGGTATTAGCATCAATAATACAACATGTACTTCAACTGATTCCTTGTATTCATTGTGGCACTGTCGTTTGGGGCATCCACATCTTGAGTCTCTTAAAAGTGTACTTAAATCTTGTAATATACACATCAATAATAAAATAGCAGAATTTTGTTCACCCTGTTGCTGTGCAAAGTCTCATAGAAAATATTCCCCATCATCCAAAACTGAATATATTGTACCTTTTACTCTAGTCTTTAGTGATCTTTGGGGACCATCTCCTGTCAAATCTTCTCTTGGTAATACGTATTATATATCTTTTGTTGATGCTTGTACTCGATACACTTGGCTTTATCCCATCAAACAGAAATCTGATGCTATTGCTATTTTTAAACAATTTCATACTATGATAACCAATCAATTTCAGCTGCCCCTAAAAGCCTTACAAACAGATTGGGGGGGTGAATTTCGGGTGTTCACTCAATACCTTAACCAACATGGTATTATCCATCGAGTTACATGTCCACACACTCATCATCAAAATGGTGTTGTGGAAAGAAAGCATCGTCATGTTGTGGAGGCTGGTCTAGCTCTCCTTTCACACTCCTCTCTTCCAATGCAGTATTGGGACTATGCTTTCTCTACTGCTGTGTACCTTATAAACAAACTTCCCTCTTCTGCCATTGCTTTTAAAGTTCCTCATACTGAACTCTTCAAACAACAACCTGATTACCTTTTTCTTAAGTCTTTTGGCTGTGCCTGTTTTCCCTTCTTAAGGCCATATAATAAGCATAAAATGGAATTCCGATCAAAAGAATGTGTCTTCCTTGGTTACTCATCACATCACAAAGGCTATATCTGTTTGAGTCCTGATAGCAGAATTTTTATCTCAAAGGATGTGTTATTTAATGAGTACAGGTTTCCTTTCAAGGAATGGCCTACCAAGAGGATCAGTACCACTCCTCAGACTGCTCCCACATGCTTTATTCCCTTGTATGTTCAGCCCTCAAGTGGTTCCAACACTGGGATTCCAAGCACAGTTGTTGCTTCCAGCATCCAAACAACAGCTCCTGCACATGTCTCTCCAGTGACTCACACTGACAGCAATGCTGATACCTCCAATGTTGTGTCTCCTATTATACCTCATACTAATGTATCATCCTAAAGTAGCAGTCTTGATTGTCCAGCTATAGCAGCTGATTCTGCCCTTTGTGATGGATCACCAGGAACTGCATGTTCTCTTTCTCCTTCACTGTCCTCACCAATCAGTCCTGCATCATCAAATTCAGAATATGCTCCATCCACTTCTCTGAGTTCTTCCTCTCCTACTCGTTCAATTATTACACGGTCCAAATCTCTGGGCAGGAATCTTGTATTCCTCACCCACATAGAACCTTCTTCTGTTAAACAAGCACTCAACAGTCCATATTGGCTTAAGGAAATGCAAACAGAATATGCAGCCTTGCACAACAACAGAACCTGGTCTCTTGTTCCCTTACCTTATGGAAGGAAGGCTATTGGGTGTAAATGGGTGTTCAAAGTGAAGGAAAATTCAGATGGAAGTATCAACAAATACAAGGCTCGTCTAGTGGCTAAGGGGTTTCACCAAAAGCCAGGGTTTGATTACAATGAGACCTTTGCTCCTGTTATAAAACCTGTCACTGTTCGGGCTATTTTAGCCATTGCTCTTACCTATGATTGGCCTTTGAGACAACTAGATATCAACAATGCCTTTCTAAATGGAGACCTAGAGGAGGAGGTGTACATGGTACAACCTCCAGGCTTTGAGGCTGAGAACAAGTCCCTAGTTTGCAGACTACACAAGTCTCTTTATGGCCTCAAGCAAGCTCCAAGAGCTTGGTTTGACAAGTTGAAGAATGCAGTATTGTCATTCGGTTTCCAAGCAAGCAGGTGTGATCCATCCTTATTCATTTATAAGGCTGGAAGTTTGAGAATCTATATGTTAGTTTATGTAGATGACATTATCCTTACGGGTAACAATGCTCCATTTATTCAGAAATTTATCTCACAGCTCCATACCTCTTTTGCTCTAAAGGATCTAGGGGACTTGGACTTTTTCCTTGGTATTGAGGTTAAGAGGCTGCCTACTGGTTCTTTGTCTCTCCATCAATCCAAGTATATCAGATATCTCCTTGCTCAAGTCAATATGCAGGAAGCAAAGGCCATCTCTACTCCTATGGCTTCTAGTTGTAAACTCTCCAAAATTGGCTCAGCTACCTTTGATGATCCTCAGTTGTATCGATCTGTGGTTGGTGCTTTACAATATGCAACCATTACACGACCAGAAATCTCCTTTTCTGTCAACAAAGTTTGCCAATTTATGAGTCAGCCATTGGTAGAGCACTGGAAGGCTGTAAAACGCATTCTACGATATCTACAAGGCACTACCACCTTTGGTCTCCATTTTCATCCTGTTAAGTCCCCTCATGGATCTTTTCCCCTTACTGCTTATTGTGATGCTGATTGGGGAAGTGATGTTGATGATCGTAGATCCACTTCTGGAGCATGCATCTTCCTTGGTTCGAACTTGCTCTCTTGGTGGTCCAAAAAGCAGCCACTTGTAGCACGGTCTACTGCTGAGGCAGAGTACATGAGTATGGCACTGGTTTGTGCTTAGATTTTGTGGATTAAATCTCTCTTTCATGAATTGCAACTATCACTATCTGTCCCTCTTATCTTGTGTGACAACCTGAGTGCTGTGGCCATTGCCCACAATCCTATTCTTCATGCTCGTACCAAACATCTTGAATTGGACTTGCATTTTCTTCGAGAAAAGGTTGTTGCCAAGGATGTTACAGTTAAGCACATTCCTGCTGCAGATCAATTGGCCGATTCCTTTACCAAACCACTGTCCCTATCCACGTTTGCTGCCTTTAGAAGCAAGCTCAAAGTGATGAACTCGCCTCCTCATTCCACCACTGTTGACCTTGCGCGGGAGTATTAGGTGTATATAGCTTAGTTTGTACCTATAGCAGCTGATTACTGCTGCTCTTGCTATTAGTTAGTTTGTTACAAGTTTGTTAGATTTGCTGACTCATCTATGAGTCAGCTTTGTGCTCTATATATTGAGCTTGTACTCCTTCACGTGAATGATGATTCACTTTTACTCTGATAATACATTTCACACATTAACTCTCTCTCTCTCTCATGTCTCTCTCTCAATCTCTCTCAGTTTCTCACATTTTCCTTCAATGGAGGAATTCTATTACTTTTTGTTAGACAATGATATGTAATTTATTAATTTTCAGGAGAGGTTATAGTTACAACATCTTTTTCTTACTATCTCTTATTACCAAATCTTAACCATTGATTTTCGTTAATCTAACGGTTATAATTTATTAATTCATACTTATTAATTAATTATTAATTTCTAATAAATTATAACCGTTGAATTGACAGAAATCAACGGTTAAGATTTGGTAGTAAGAGGTAGTAAGAAAAAAGAGGTAGCAAGTATAACATTTCCCTTATTTTTCATATTAAAATATTTAAAATTGATATATTTTTTTTACAGGTATTTAAGTATATTTATAATTTTTTTAATATAAATTATAAATTTATATATATTTATCGAGTCATGCGGTTGAACCAGTAATCCACTGGTTGAACCAGTGACCCAATGACCCAGTACCTCGATTGGTTCAATAATCGGGCCAGATTTAATAATATTGAGTAGTATCGTCACGAGGGACTATTTCAAACATTCCTCCAATAAAATTAAAATACCAGCCTACAAATCAATACAGAGAAGAGAGAAAAACATACAGTCACAGTCACGAGGGACTATCTCATTAAATACATGTATCTCATTTTAAATGAGAGTAATATCCATCACAAGTGCTACTATGATACTAAAAATGCGCTCCCATGTAACAAGATAACACTTTATTTATTTATTTATTTATTATTTTTTGGTAAACATTTATTTATTTATTTATTTGCCTTTGAACACGTCATGTGAAACCTTTTTAATGCCCATTTTTTTCTTAAAGAACTAGCTAATTTCTTGTGAGTCGTTGGTTGAGAAAAATTAAATTAGAAAACTGATCAATTGATGGTGCTGTGAGAAATTTGTTATAGTTCTTGTGTAAGCTGCAAAAAGGGAATGAATGATTTTGAATGTGGAGATGAGATGGGTAGTAGTGGTTGAACAAAGGTGAGAGTGCACAGCACATGGATGATGATGACCTAGTGGATCATTCACATTCATCAGGGTATCAAAGAAAGTGACAAAAGTAAAAAGATGTAACAAGTTAAGAACCAACAGCAAAATGTGATATGAAAAAGAATATGACAAAATAACACAAAGCAGGGTTCACGGGTCACTTACTGTTTCCTCTTCTTTGTTAAATATAAAGTACACACCCCACTAGCTACATTCCAATAATTCACTTCACACCCTACTTCAAACTCTTAACATCACAACCATTTAAATTCATTTATCCTGACAAAGCTGCACAGTGCACAAACCTCTCTCACACAGAAAAAAATGTTGCAGTTTAGCTGCAGATAATTGTCCAAAAAGTTAAATAACTTTTTATCTCCTAAAAGTGCATTAAAATAATGACAATGAACAAATATGCTATATATAATGGAGTTTGATTTTCTTGTGTTGAATGAGAATTCAATTCTCATGTTGTAGAGATAAAAAGTATGTGGAACCCATGTGTTGGAAAAAATTATATGTAGGACCCATGTCAGCACGGAAATTGAAGGGTGTGTAGGAAAATTTGAATTCTCACGTTGAATGAGAATTATAAAACCCATATATAATTAGCTTCACTCATCATATTATTTTTATATAGCATGAAGTATCTATCTCATTAAGCTCATGGATTCAGCACCTTCTTGTTCTTGGCTGCAAGCCTTCTTTTTCTTAGCATTGGTTTGGTTCTTTAACTGTGGAGGTGTTCATGGAGCAAACACTACAGTGAATAACTTTTCAAAAGTGGAAGATGCTGTAAACTTCCATATTTACTATGGCCAGACCTTCAAAGTCATTAAGAATGCCGTTGATGGCCAAAGCTACCTTCTTCTTCAGGTACTTCACTGTGCACATATCTTAAGAAATCATTGGTGATAAAACTTGTTTTTTATTGTCTTTGAATTCTTGTGTAAGGTTGGGTATTAGTACACTAATAGGTCCTTAAGTTTTGTTTTGGTTTTTGGTTTATACAAGTAAATAATGAAATGGAAAATGGTAGGGACTTGGAATTTTTTTTTAGCCTAAGTGTGGATGAGAAAATAAAGGGTGAGTATTATCATATTTTTATAAAAAAAAATTTCAATGAAATTTTATAAATTATTATTCATGAGTCATGACTTTATATCTGTTATCAAAATAATATAACTGCCTTTAGTACTTTCCCCTATTTAAGAAAGAGACGAAGATATCTTCTGTGAAGATAACAAATTAATCATTGGAAACTACTTCAAAGGGCTTAAGACAATAGTATCATCAACCTATATAGCTGCCCAAGTTGTATTTTTGAAAAACACTGATTGGAGACAATAGCTACCTTTATTAGCAAAGTCTTTTGTAATCAAAGATAGGAGAATTTTAAAATCGATCATTTATTAATATAACAAAAAAAAAATCTGTAAAGAGATCCTTTTTTTTTCTTCTGTTGGGAATGTACTCTTAAAGGAACTAAACATAGGAATTACATTTTATTTTTTTTCTAATTTTTTTGCATGTTTGCTGAATTTTTTCTGCTAAGTTGTGTTTCTAGCCAACTCATATTAATTTCTTCCATCAATTAATCTCATTGGCAGAATAATTCAAGGATTGCATCAAGGACTAAATATTGCACGTCAAGAATCAAATCATTTGTCATACCAATGTCAAACTATTCTGTTGATACAGATTATTTTCCGGGTATGCCATGCATATTCCTACTGTTTAGCTTATTGATTCTCATTTTCTTTGGAATGAAGATGCTAGCATATAATACCACAAATCATTTTGTTTTACCAGCAAACCGATGCTGTCAGTCTGTTACCAGTTCAATGTTCCAGTGCTAAAACAAATTATTAGTCAATTCAATTTAGTCATTCTTTTTGACTCATAAACTTAAGGATGTCTTTCATCTTTGTTGTGCCTAACGTTTTCTTTTTCTTTCTTTTGCCTCCGGGGATTGGAACTCAAGTTTCCTTCTTAGAGGTGAGGATCTCTCATTACTCCAAGTTTACATATTAAATTACAAAGGTTTTGTTTGGATTTGAAGTTGTGTTGCCAACTTCAAGATAGAAGGGTTTTCATTTTCATTCCTGCTTTGCCTTAATATTTGTTCCTATTCTTGTTTTGAGCAGCTTTTAGGCTTACTGGAGAGCTTGAAAGGCATAACCTCAGAATCTGTGGCTTCTCCATGTGTGTTGAAGTTGTATGAAGGAGGACAGATAGAAATGTTCAACAGAAGTGATTACCAAAAGCTTGCACAGTTTGCAGCTCACTTCTTTAGTGACACTAATCAACAACCAGCTTGCAATTTTGCAACTTTTGTTCCTTTTGTAGAGGATATCCCTTTGCAGGTAAGCAACTTTTGTTCCTTTTGTAGAGGATACCCCTTAGAATGATTAAAGATCAACTGCATTTACTTTGATAGAGAGCAGAGTGGATCAAGTTCATTGGAGCTTTTGCAAATGTTGAAGCTAGAGCCAATGAAGTCTATACTGCAGTAAGAACACCACTCAGTCAATGGCATAACTATATTACTATATGATATGATTATTTTTTCAGCAACTTCTACTATCATCATTATAACCTTGTAGTTTCTTCTTCTTGTTCAGTCCAAGGCCCTAAACTGCAATTTGTATCAGGAATTTCCACTTACAGTCTTCATAAGCTGTTGAAATCTGATATTAAGAATTAATGATCATAACTCAAATAACTTTTAGGATTAAATTCAGTTTAATCACTAGTCCCCTATTTCAGTCTACATTCTTGTGTCAATTATGGTTTAGGGTGAAACTACTAACTTTCTTCTATTTGTTAAGATGTTGCTTATAAGCTAGTAGGCTATTACCACCAATTTAAATAAATCCATGTGAAGACAAAGCACAAAAAATGGACTTATTTCTGTTTTGTCCAGATGAACTACTGGTCCCACATTAACTAAATCCTTATGTATGTTCATCTTTTGAACACCATACTATTGAAATCTGAACATGAAAATGTGGGACCAGTAGTTCCTCTGGACAAAACAGAGCTGGAAACTTTTGTTAGTTAATGATAAAACTTCAGTCACACTACATATTGTGTGCATAGATTTGAATGTGGAATGCATCAACAAATGGCAATAGAGAAATGTTCAATGACCCCACAAACAATGTCTTTTATTTCTTCCAAATTATTGCAAAAGCTAATCATAAGTAGTTCTAAATTCCTTTATACTAAAAAATTGATCAAGTTTCTGTGTGCATAAAAAGAAAGTTGCATTTGGAGATTACTCAATCACCTTTTCATAGTTTTCTGTGCTAATATCAGTGTAACTGATTAGATTTTGTGATATATGTTACTCTGACAAAATGGTTTGTTATTGCATAGGTTAAGGAGAATTATTTGTGCTTGGCTAAAATTGCAACTACTCGGATATCATTCAAGCCAACAGTAGCTTGGATGAAGTATGATAAAGTATGTATATTCAAAAGCACACATCCCATTACTTAATCATCTTCTTTCCCACATTTTGTTTCTGTTATTCCCTCATCCTGGTCCAATTCTATCATTAACACTTAAAAATCATTCTTTATTTTTTTTTTTTTTCCTCTCCAAATTATCTTGACCCAAGTTCTGATACATGAATTCTGTTTATAGAAAAAAAAAATGAGTTAATTTTGAGTAACTTACAACTGAAATGTCATCTTTGCAGGGTGTTTGGTCTTTTACAAAGGAAACATATCAGTTGAAGGTATCAAACCAAACCATAACTGTTTTCTTCATCGTTATTAGGAACCACTGTTTCATAAAAAACTATGTTATTCATTGATTTATAGATCAACTGTCAGCAATTAAAGTTATTATTTTTATTTTATCATTTTACAATTTTATCATTAAAATTGTGACCATTGATATAGGACGAACAACTAAGTTCTTTCACATGACATGGTCTCTGATCCATTGCAAACTGATGCGTATGCTTTTAAGTTTTTGTGGCCACTTTCTAAATTTGGATACAAAAACTTTGCAAACAGTACGTGGAAGATGCAGGAGGAGAGAATTTGGATGCCTCTATATACAAGAATACTTACAATATCTCTGATCCTGATGACTTGGAGGAATTGCATGCCATCCTATGTGTAAGTTGTATTATGATATTGCATTAAATGAAAAAATTAAACGCAAGTAACAAATAATATATATTTTTTATGTAAGGTAAAATTGAACATATAACCTAATATAACCTATCCAAACCTCTCATCACTAAACCAATCCCAGTGACTTAAGTAACAAATAATATTGTAAATTCACATTCCAGTCTGTAATTAAAGGTTTATCATCACATCAATCTTTATATATTACATTTCAATTCATTTTTTTAGTGGTTAAGTCTCTTGGGGGTGTATACGACAACTTTTTCGGAATTAATTTTTTTTTTTTAATTTCTGTTTCCAGAAACATAAATAGATAGAAAACTTGTTTGGTAAAATCAGTTTATTTTTTTGTTCCTGGGATGAACCGGTTTAATTTGTGTGCGGAGGAACAGAAAAAATAACAATTTTTTTTTTTTTATTCCCGAGCTCAAAATGAGAAACATATGTCTCTCTCAATCACTCTCCACCACTATCATCATTACCATCATCCCGACACGACCATCGCTACCATAATCGCTACCGTCGCCGTATCACCACTGTCATCGTCACTATCACCACCATGATGCCAACGCCACCATCACTATCACCATGCCACTGTCACCATAGCTGCCATTGCTACCATCACTACCATAACCACCACCGCTGTCATCATCGCAGCCACTACTGTCACCACCACCACTACTATTATCACCACGCCTCCGCCACCACCACCACCATCGCTAGCACCACTACCACTGTCGCCGCCGCCATCGTCGTATCTACCACCATAACCACTACCATCACCGTATCTACCACCATAACCACTACCATCACCACTCCATTGTCATCGCCACCACCACCACCATCACTACTGCAACCGCCACCATCACCACCACCGTTACCAACCACCACCACTATCACCGTAGCCAAAGCCATCACCAACCACTACCATCATCGTCGCAGCCTCTGCCGTCAACACCACTACCACGCAACCACCATCGCCACCATTACCACCATCATCATTGCAGCCATTGCCATCTCCACCACCTCCATGCCATCACCTCAACCACCACCACGCCACCACCACCACCACACCATATGAAAAGGAAAGTGATGATCCAAAAAAAATTTATGCTTAATAAAAATAATTTTTTATTATATTATTTGTTGTGTTATCAAATGTATTCTCATTCTCAGAATAAAAATAGAACATGTTATCAAACACATTTTTTTTCCATAAATTGTTCCAAGACACAAAAATAGAAAGGAATTGTTTTTTTTCAGAAATAGTGTCAGGAACAGAATGATTTTCATGCACACTCTTAGTATACTCTTTCTTAAAAAATACATATCATAACTTTTTTTTAACTTTTAAATTTAGTTTTTTAAATTAATTATGAATATCTTCTTTATAATTTTATATAAATTTAAAAAATATCTGAGCTATACATGAGATACTTAATTGATAGCTGAAAATTATTCCTAAAACTATATATTGCATATCCACAAAAAAGGATTTTTTTTTCATTGCATTAAATTCCCTTTTATTTATTGGTTTTTGTTGAGTAATTATTATTTCTCGTGTAGACTGTGGAAGTAGTCATTGATGAAACATTAACTTCTGATCCAGCCAACTACACTTTATCAACATTTATCCATAATCTAAATGTTGAGGATCGTTCTTGTTTTTCCTTTCTTACAAACACAAGCCTATGGAGATATGACAAAAGGATTCACAATTATACTGCTCTTGGTAAGAATACATTTACCAAACTTGTGTCTCTTATAATTGCTGTGTGAGTGTTTTGAATTTTAATGTGTAATGACAAAAATACTAGCTTTTTGATTTTATAAAACTATATATGGAATTTGGAAGATGTTTTCTTCTACATGATTTTTCTAGTAAAGCACCTACTCAATATTTATGTCATACTTTTATTTGGTGGAAGTTCATTCTTTCATGGCCAAGAAAAAGAAAACTTTCTCTATCATGTGCTAGATGTTGGGATTCTCCCTAATATGCGAAACTATCACCGCAAACTCCTGGATACATTATATTGGATTATCAAGGAAACTAAAGGAATTAAAACGTAGGTGATTCCATCGCAATTATTGTGATTTTATGATGCTTTTGAATTTTTGGAATTGATGATCTTCCTCAATCGATTGATAGGGAAAAGACTATCTAACTAATTTGATACATTAAGTACCATAACATTATCTATTATTTCTTATCATTGAGCCAACCAGGCTCGTAGTATATCATGTTGAACCAATATAGATATCCACTCATTTAATCCATACACATTGTGAAATCCAATTGGGTTCCTTAATAAATCACTTAAATATGCCCAATAATTAAATAGCATGATGTAATTGATAATTAAATATGTAGCCCACTAGAAAATAAAATTATCTGCTGAAATCATTAATGTGATCTCACTTATGTGCTTAAACTTTTGGGTTATAATTATTTTTCGCCCCTTACTTTTCATGTATAATTGTTTGTGTGTGCATGTGATCTTCTGCATGTAAAGACTGGTATAATGGAGCAGTGTCCCAACCTCAATTGGCACTAGCAGATATTGTTGAGGCTTTATTTCCCACTGGAAATTACACGATGACATATTTTAGGAACCTCGCAAAGGTATGTGTTCATTTTTTAAAATTCAAGAAATTGCAAAATGGTTTTTAGTATTTTCAACCTCTCAAGTTATTCATCTCATCGTGCAGGGAGAAGCACCTACAAACATTGTTCCTGAAATGTGTGACAGGGACACCTCCACAACAATGGAGCCTACGATAGTAGCATGTGGATGATTGACTTTCAAGTTCAAAAATAGGTATATTGTTATGGGAATGGATGACGTTAAAATTTTTTGTTATATGATTCTTACGTAAAAAAATTTGAGTTTATATTTCTCTTCATAAATATTATCAAATTTTAATAGAATTTTACTGATTTAATATATATGAAGAGATAAATAAACACAAAATTTTTAAATTTTAAGATATGGTAACCATTCCCACGATATTAACAGTATTTTTTTTTTACATTCCCTAGTTTGAAAATAGGATCTATACTTATTCTTTATTTTTAATGTTATTATTTGCATTCAGCAACGAGTTATATGCACCTAATTTAACATTTCTAATTAAACCATATTCCATTTTACATTCTTTTCATTTTTAGTTTTTGATTTTTCAATTTTGTATTGAATTATTGAATCGATTTATAAACACCCTTAATAACTAAGTCATGTCTACATCAAACATGGTATGGGCAAGCCTAATGTTGTAAATGAGCCGAGCGGTTTGTCAAGGACTCAATGTAGTTTGCTTTAAGCTTAACTTGACCTGACTTGTTTAATAAATAAAACAGACTTAGTTTTAAAAAAAGCTTGTTTAGCAAACAAGTCCAAGCCTAATTTAATAATGCTTGACTTGAAAGTTCGTGAGCTGGCCCGATATATTATTATAATAAATAATATTTTTTTATGTCACTAAATCATTAAACCTATTTTTAGTAACCCTATTTTTTACTATTGTCTTTAACTCTACAAGCAACTGACTAAACTCGGATACTCTTTCTCTATTCTTCTTTGAAGATTATAATATAATAAGCTTTGGAGTTTGGACAGCTTATTGTATTAGAAGTGAAGTCATCGTATGTTTTTTTGTGTGTGTTTTTTTTTGCATTGCAAGCGGCTCCAATCTCACATTCTCTTGGTTTATTAAGTCATCAAATTTATGTAGAATTTGATGTATTTTTAGTCTCAATATTTGGACTTTGGACGTATGTGAGTTTGGTTTCTTGTATTTTTTTGATTTTTCATTTACTTAATATTGATTTTAAAGTGCTATACCTTTTGTTTTTAAATTATGAAGATATTAGGAACAGAGTCCCTGTATTCACAAAAACAAGAATGATAGAAAGGGAAAGAATATTACCCAAAAAAATTGATTTAAGTTTCCTAAGTCTATATTTAGTTGAAGGTAAAATATTGTTGAAAAAATAGGGCGAAATTACGACAACAACCCTTGACTAAATAAGAGTAATTTTTTATAGCTGAATATATGGTCATTTTCGTCACCTAACTTCGTGCTCCTTTTTGTTTGGAATGTGACTTTTATACTCAAGAGGGGGGGATGAATTGAGTATTACAAGATTTTTGCAAAAGCCCTCTTCTAATTTCTAAATAATCATTTCAAGCAAACTTTAATATGTGAAAAGCTAATCAATGCATTCAAACAATCCATAATATATAATATATCACAATTATAGAACTTACTCTAGCACATACAAGATATCAAAGAAGCAATTAAAGTGCTAGAAATAAAGAGTTTAGAGTTTAGAGAATTGCAAACACAATATATCCTGGTTCGGTCACCACCACTTGTGACCTACGTCCAGACTGAAGCCGCTCGATCAACTCTTTCACTAATGGTCAAGCTTCACGGGTGCTTGACAAACCTTTACAATCTTTCAAGACTTCGGGTTCTTGGATACCTTACAATCTCCAAGTTTACAGGTACTTGGCAACCTTACAATTCACTCCAAATTTACTTAGGTATTAGGCTACCTTTCAAACAATGGGTGTCACAACCCTTTCAAATCAAGAATACAAGGAGGGAAATATTTGGAAATGAATATACACTCTTAAAGTGTGGATATACAACTTGAAGCACTATGGGTATATGAATTTTCAAGATTTGAGCTCAAATATGTTTAATCTTTGAAAGATATGAAAGAATATGTAAATGATAGTGTAGAAGCTCTCAAATCATCCTTAAGATGTGTAGGAATGGTGATCGATACGTTTTAAGGTCATAAGGAATGTATTTATAGTGTTTCCATTGAAAACTAGCCGTTTATAGTTGTTTTATGCATTCTGCCCAGTAAGTATTCGAATACTTTTCGTGTGGTATTCGAATACTTCATTTATAGCCGTTATAGACTTTTTGCCCAGTGAGTATTCGAATAGTTTTCGTGAGGTATTCGAATACTTCATCAGGTATTCGAATACTTTATTCACAACAAGAATATTGTTTCGTATTTTGAGCATAAATTGAGTTATACTTGTCAGATTGATGTGATCTTGGTCTCGTTGGAAAGAGAAAAGAAAGATCTACAAATTTTATGAAGAACACAAGATCCAAATCCATCATCTTAGATACGAAAAATTGTATGGAAGGCAGAAGCAAAATTAAGCAACAAATTTTAAGTTCAAATGTGTTCTAGCTTGCTTCCAACCACTTTTTGTGAAAGATCTTGACTTGATAAATATATTTTGAAGTTATAAAATATGTCAAGGATCTTTTCCTTGGATTTCTCAAATTTCTTTCAAGTATATAAATAAAGGTTATGATTAAGCAATTTGAAAAACACGTTTACTTTGAGAAAAACTCTGAGCTCATGCAATGCAATCTTTCATATACCCTCACATATATTCTAAGCCCTAAACATATATTCTAAATATGATTTTAGACTTAGTTGTATGTCTTGTGTCTTAGATCTTTTTTTGAACTTGATGCTTTGACTTGTTGGATATGTCAATGCCTGACACTTTGTTGGTTTTGCTCATTTTTCATCATGGTTATGATATTGAGCTTCTCTTAGATGTTGTCCATGGTTAGTTGTCTTTGATCTTGGTGTTGCTCTTCTAATTATTCCTTGTTACTCTTGATCCAATAATCTTGCCACTTTGATATAACATCACTCTTCTTGTGTGGCTACATCATACATCTTCAATATCCACCTACGGTTGATGTTTTTTTTTCTTGATCAAAGCTCTTCTCTTTTTGTTGTTGTCATTTTGTTATCATCGAAACATACCTTATATCTACGCTTTGTGTATTTTACCGGTAATTCGAAAATACCACCTTGTAGGTGATATTCTTCAACAATGTTTTTACTCACAATCTCCAAATAAATATCAAATATTGGGCAAATCATTTCCTAGATGAATTTTTAAAATCTTGTGCCAAACATAGACATATTAAAATAACATATCCATTTGCCTGGGTATCTAAGAATAATGATATTTTCTCGGTCAAAATTATATATGAATAATGATATTTTCACATTTTCTTCCATTTTCTAAGAAAGGAAATTCAATAAACTGAAAAAGAAAATAATTAGTTAATCTGAAACGGGACGAACACCAAAAGATTAACAACTACATCCTCGGAAAACAAATTTGTTTTCAGCGTCATGAAGTAAAATAGTCTAAATATAGGTAGAAGTTAGAACACATTTTGTAACATCCCCGTCTCGAGCCGGTTCAATTAACATACATATGATAAAACAGAAAACAGCGGAAGACTTAACTTCTGAAAATACGAGCTAACTTTTTCTTTTTCTTTTTAGATCTTACTCGGGGTAAACGAAAATCGGGCAGAGTTTCCTCTATAAATCGGACAACTGGGGATTTTCCAATCCCACTCAGAAGCATTTCCTGATAAACAGTTTATACAGCATAGTAATCCAGAAGTACCAGTCATGCAGATACAATCAGATACCCATCCATGGGCGCATGCAAAATATAGCTCCGTGCCACTATCCTAATCAACATGCAATCCAATACGAAATCATAAACTGAATAATACATCATCATATGACGTGCCTGAATACCCAAATGTACATGCATCCAAGTGACAGACATGTACAAAACATATACAGGCCATATACAAAATAAAGGATCAATATCGTGATCCATCAAATGCGGAAATACTAAAAGACAACAAACACTCCAAAAGGTAGTAGCCTACAGCCACTCAAAATCCGATCTGTCAACTGCCTCAGCCACGTGTCGTGTCCCTGCCTAGTGAGGACTCACCGGAAATCTGGGCACCTGAAAATATGTCCCCAAGAGGGGTGAGATTACAAATCTCAATAAGCTCCAGGTTTATAGAGAATTCTCCATACACCTGGCTCACTCCTGCATGAAAGTCAGATACAGAGTATACAAATACAACATATAACAGATATCATAACAGAACAGATCATATATCCATATCATATCAGAGATGTACGCCGTCATTCCCAAGGGAGGACCCCAAGCGGAAATCAACGCACGTGTTCCCGAGGGAGGACCCCAAAGCGGAACCAGACATATCAGAGGCGTACACCATCAGTCCCGAGGGAGGACCCCAAAGCGGACATTCGGGTACTATACAATCAATGGCCAGAGATTGTTACAGAAATCATATTACAGAAGTCATATCAGAGCAAAACATATCATGTTATCAAATAACTCTATATGAATGCATCTATACAAAGCATCTAAATCACAGTCATACAGTCCAACCATAGTTCACTAACCATGGTGGAGCACTCAAGCAGGAAAAGACTCCTTAAATGTAACACCCCGTTCTAGAACCGGTTTGTTAACATCGCATTATGATATTAAGCGCAGTTACAATCACATGGGTTCAATTAAAATCCGGATAAATTTTTCATTTTAAAACATACCGAATTTATAATACCCAATTCTGTGATCATAACCGTATTACCTTGCGGAATCATATCAATTAAGCTTAACATCATGTTCTTATTCCATTTTTAAATCATTAATTTACTTCTTATTTAGTTCACATCTTCTACTATATTGTAGGTTTCTTCATTAGCTACCTGTGGCTTCAAACCGTGCTCAAATCGGGGCACTGTAGCCCAAGTTAGGACAATTTGGAGCAACACAAGAGAGTGTTGGTCACAGGCCCAGCGCGCTACCGGGCGCTCAAGCGCGCGCTATCGGGCGCTAAAGCCTCCATCTGGGCGCTTAAGCGCACGGAGGCAGTAAGCATCAGGCATTCCAGTGTGGATGGGCGCTTAAGCGCGCAACAGGGCGCTCAGGCGCGCTATCCTGGGCGCTCAAGCTCCCACGGGGACGTTTTAGCGCGCAGAGACAGAAGCATCTCCTCCTTCAGTGGCGAAGGGCGCTTAAGCGCGGACCAGGGCGCTCAAGCGCGCAACCCTGGGCGCTTAAGCCCCACCCTGGGCGCTAAAACACGAGGGGGCAGTAAGCCACCCAACTTTCTGCAGCAAAGGGCGCTTCAGCGCACGCCAGGGCGCTCCAGCGCGCACTCCTGGGCGCTTAAGCCCCCACTTGGGCGCTCCAGCGCGAGGAGGCAGAATGCATTGGCACTCGCAGGGGCAGCTGGGCGCTTAAGCGCGCTGCCAGGGAATTCCAATTCCCACATTTCTCAAGTCCAAACCTAGGGGGAAATGCATCCCCATTACAAACCCCAATTGTCCATGCCCCAAAACTAAATCCTAGCACTCATCCAACCTCTCCTCATGAGATTTAGCTAGAATTTGGGCAGCATGACCTTTGTTTTCTCATCGTTTACCAGTTTAAACGAAGAGGGTACCTAATTGATTTCCAGCCCAACCAATTCAACAACTCAATACATAACAAGCATGCATATATTGAATTCCAAGTAGACATCATTTACATTACATATCCTTTACAAATCATAGAACTTAGCTTACAAAACACTATGATCATTCCCTTGGCTCCCATCAACAGTAGGTGTAACCAAAGGCATGAGCATAGGCTAAGTTCATCCAATGAATCAAGATATACATATGACCATGGGCTTTCAAAATAAAATCCTATACATGTCAACTACAAAAGGCATGCATAAACTCAAAGAAATGCCATATTTCATGCATAATCCAGATATGGCCACTTGCCACCAGAGGCTCCTGCAGCATCCTTACCTGAAAGGGGGTCCCCACAACACGGGGTGAGATATACGAATATATCCAGTAAACCAGGGGTCCTTGGAGCATCTCTCCACCCCACAGTTCCATATCAGTGTAATAGCAATAACAATAATAATGCAGTAAATACATATCTATGCAAAGTGCAATACATCTCCAGGAGAAATCCCTCGAGCTTTCAAGCTGTCCTAAGGAAACTCAGATGCAAATAGTCCTACTGGCCAGCTAACTACCAAGTATGATTTACGCATCGTCATGCCACATACCCACATAGGGAAACACCATCCTATGCCACACCAAATGCATACACATACGTATAACAAAGCATTACACTATTTTATTGCATTTATATACACTATAATCACCACTACCCTTTCAGGGCTTGGTGGAACAATCAAGGGAATTACACCCAAGGTCCGAAGGCTTACCTCAATGCTTCAGTCGACCTTTGTTCTTCACCAATGTCAACAATACTCTACTCCAAAACCAACACCTACACATGGTGTAATGCAATCAACACATTGCATCCAAGAGTATTTCACAATCAACCATCAATTACTCAATTCAAAGCACAACCCAAGTATGAGCTTACCAATTCCAATGAGCTATTCAAGCTCCATAGCTTGCTCCAATGGTTGATCACTCACGGTTGGTCCAAATGTCTCAATCCTAGACATCACAAGGATCCAATCAATCATTCAACTCACTAATTGTTCAACATGCTAGAATACTAACCAATCCAAGCATGAATTTTCCAATATTATGAACAATTATCAAATGACTATCTAGGCTCATTTCCACCGATTAAATGACATTCCTAGCATTTTCCATAACATGCTCTAAGTTCCATTCTTCCTAGAACATAGCTAATTCAACTACATTTCATAAAAATCCCAATTTACTATTCACAAACCCTAACTCATGCAAATTTCAAGGAATCATGAGGTTCAAGGGTTAGAATCTTACCACCAATGGTCACACAACCAAGGATTGATGGCTCCTCAAGCTTCAATGGAGGTAGAAACTCTCAAAACCCCAATTTTCACCAAAGGGCCGAATTTTTGAGAGGTAATATCTCTCTCCACAATGCTCCCCACTCAAAACAAAGCAAGGATTATGAAGAGGGCGAGATTCTAAGCGATTTAGGCTTTTGAATCACCCAAAACCGTTGGGATTAGCTCTCTCTCTCTCTCTCTTTCCCTTTTCTTCTTCCCTCTCTTCTCCCTCTCTTCTCTTCTCCTTTCTGGTTCGACGGGTTGGGTGGGAAATGAGGGTCATTTGGTGACTTAAGTCACTTAACATAGGTTAAGTGGCTCTAAGCGGGTATTGGTTCGTCTATCTATTTAACTCCAATAATTACCAAACTTTACCCAAAAGTCTGGAATATTATTCTAGGAATATTACTATTTTTATTTTTATATTTTGGGTACTTTTGACAGTACCCATTTATACCCCTTAATTTTCACTGAGTACACTTTTTAACTCCAAAGTGACTCAGATTCATTTTATTAAGCCTCATACTTAATTTCACCCAGTAAAACATGTTTAATTAATTAATTACACTTGATTTCCTAATTAATTAATATGGGCTATTATATTAAACATAGAGCTTACCTCTTGAAGCTTTACCAATACGCTTACTTGTGGAACAAGTTACTTTTATCGCTTCAAGAGATTTCCGATCCTTCTCAATCCCTAGGCACACCTAGAGAATAATTTACAATGCATCAATAAAATGATGCAATACCATGATTATTTCATAAGCATACATTTTATCGCTTATTTTCCTTTCTTTATATTTTTGCCAATTCTATGCCAATACACAAGTCTAGACCTCTATACACCCGTTGGCGTTCTTTAATTTAATCAAGCATTTACTTAAGAATTTTTCACATAAATCATGCTATTTTTCTTTAAAAGTCGCGGGATACCCTTAGGGACTCAAGGTATTTTTCAACCATTTGTCAAAGCATTTCACTTCTTAGCTCATCCATTGGTATATTAAAATGCAACACATTTTATTAGAATAAAATGTAACCAATATATATATACCCCTAAACATCCTATAGTTCGCAACATAGAGCAAGTATTTGTAGGATTTTTTCTAACTTTGGCATTTCCACCAATTAATCCATTTACACTACATTCCAACATATTTTACCTTTTCAAACATACAATAAAAATTTGCATGATGAACCCTATATAAGCCATGAAGGCCGAAACCTAGGGGAAAAGTGCACTAGGGCTTTTCAATTTTTTTATCACAAATTAATGCTTACTAAACACTATCATTCCTAACCAACAACAATCCATCATAATTTTCACCTTCTAACATCAAATATTTCTCACTCAAAACATGCTCCAAATTTTCAAAACATAGATCACAAAATAATACCATAGAAATAGAGGTTTCTTACCTCTAATCACTTGTACAAAGCCTAGAGAATAACCTCCAAGCAAAGCTCCATCAAAAACTCACTTTTTCTCCTCCTATGAATAGTAATCCGAAAATAAGAGGAGGAATAACTCTTCACACACTCGACTATAGCTCAAATGGATAGGTGCAATGGATTCCTTGAGTGGTTCCTAATCAATTTCAAGTGGTGGGTCATAAGATTTGGTTGAGAATTCAAGAAGAAATCAACAAAACAAGCAAAACCCTAACCCCCCCCCCCTTTTCCATGGCTGAAGCTCGGCCCTTCAAGAGAGAGAAGAAGAAATTTTTGCAATGAATAGTGATTCATTTAAGTGGCCAAGCTATTTAGGCACATGTGGCCCTTTTGTCGGATGTTTTTCTATCGCGTATTTCACTTAAATTTACCCGAAACTTAACTTAAAGCTACGGATATATTTTTATTTTTCCAAAGTTATTTAAATTAATTTTTATTTCCTAAGGAACAATATTCATAATTCACAGTATGGTTTTTGCACCGTTTTTAACGAAATGCACTGTGAACCACTAACTGTACTTTATTTAATTCTGAAACTTAACACTTATAAACTTATCATTTTCTTGGGCCTATATTGACTTGCTTGGCATATATTGGACTTTCCTATTCTTATTTCATCAATTATTTGTTTCTGGACTCTACCGGTTGCTTACACAGCAGTACAAAATACCCGGTAAAAATACTATTCACGAGATTTTCACGGAAAGTGCCAGACTATACAATTTTTCATTCTAAACTCATATTTGTCGTCAGAATTATCAAATTATGTCTCTAAAATTATTTTGCTCTTTTTAAGCTCTACCGGTTAATTCACAAAACTGTAAATTCTCCGGCAGAACGCACTGTTCATAACATAGTCATGATTACAGTCAAAATACTCGAAATCACTCACTAAATCTAATTATGGCATTTAAATCCTTAAATTAAATCTCTAATTAAGATTTACCCTATAGGGTCATTATACATTTGTTTTATAACTAATATATATATACACTTTACAACCAATAAAACATTTATCATGTGTAATTTTTTTTATCTATTTGTTTATTTTTAATTTTCTACACTACTGTTTTTGCCATTTTTATCTTTAGCGGATATTTGGTAGGAGTTTAATTTATAGATACCCAGGCAAATGGATATGGTATTGCAAAATGTCTATGTTTGGTACAAGATTTTAAAAAATTTATCTAGAAAAATGATTTGTTCAGCATATGATATTTGTTTGGAAATTGTGAGTAAAAACACCGTTGAGATGATAATCTCGGATTACCGGCAATATGCAAAAAGAAGTGCGAAGTTAGGTGACGAAAATGACCTTGTATTCAGTCTATCAAAAATTACTCTTATTTAATCAAGGGTTGTTGTCGTAATTTCATCTTATTTTTTCAGCAATATTTTACCTCTAATCAAATTCATTTAAGAAACTTAAACCAATTTTTTCAATAATATATTTAAAGAAAACAAGTAAAATTCTTATTCAATATCTTTATAATACAAGTAACTCTTATTTATAAACCAAATAAAACCAAGCGCATGAAGGAAACAGCTTCCCTATTAAGGGGAGCTCAAATTATAAAAGATTATCATGGACTCAAATGACATTTTACAATAAGTTAAGGGTTTAATATTTTTGTTTTCATTGTAGAAAAAATTTTCTACCACAATTACATAAAATTGAGTAGGTTTCACTATTTTTTTTTTTCCTCTCTTTTCTTTTTGGCTCTACCGGGAACATAAATAAATTCCACATCACATCTAAAAAATAAATCTTAAATCTAATAAATTAAAAAGTATATATATATATATATATATATATATTTCTTGTTTAATTCATTCATTCTCATGTGAGAATTTATCATTTGAATTTCGAAAACAAATATAAAGTACAAAAAATATACTTGTGTATTATTTTAGTTTGACATACGCAATTTTTTATCATACACATAGTAATGTCTTATGTAGGGAGAAGGAGTGTTGCCTCCATTGTTGCCGGGTGGAATTGGGCTAATGGGAGATAGAGAAGTACCTAATATCAGTGAGGATCGAATTGAAACTTAGAGAGAGAGAGAGAGAGAGAGACGTGTTTCTGACAGTAAATAGCACGGGAGGATCAAGATTTCGAGAGCCAGTAGTTCATCAACGGTCCAAATTTTGCCACAAGAGTAAACCTCACCTTCTAAACCTCATACTCTCATAATACGAATTTGGACATCATAAGTCATAACCTCATACTCGAGGAAAAACTTTCGTGGGTGTTTGTGGCTCAACTCAACTAAACCTTACCATATTGGCGAAACATAAGCACATGGTTTAGAAACATCAAAATAGCATGAAAACGCTCAATCTTTCCACAAGCAAAGCATTTCAAAGTACCAGAGTAACATAGTTACTTCATGATAGTTGAGATACCTGACAAGCCGTAAGCTTGCATGAGCACGAAATTCCCAAATTCTGGCCAATATCAAAATCACAAAGCTTCCCAACAAAACAGAGGTAATAATCAAAGGGAACCCACAATTTTTTTACTATTATTATTAGTACCCTCAAACACTACAGATGACTAATTCTCTAATTAAGCAATGACAGTTACATAAAAATTTAATAAAAAGGGGGGAAAGAATGTTGAAAATCCAAGTGTGAAGGATAAAGTTACACCTCGAAAAGGAATAGAGTAAGAATTGAATATATAAATGAAATGATTTATAAATTTATTGTATTGAGATATGATATAAAACTTAGTTATTGTGGTTGTTGCTTAAACGCATTAATTGAGAAGAAATTATAAAAGTGAAAGCATCCATCGATATAGATCTGTATGTTAGCTCAATTAGTGTTTCACTTTGTCTTTGGCCATAACACTCTGGTTTTGTGTGGGGGGTTGGATCGATAATATAACCTCCCAAGAATTAAAAAGGGAAAAATTTGCCAAGGTCCACATCGGATATGTCAAAGGTTTGGCCAGTCTTTATAAACTGGTTACAGGACCACTTTGTGTACCGGGCATGGTAACGTGTGCCTGTAACCCGAGTGGGGGTAATAAAGTAGCGGGAGATATTGATAAATAAAAGTGAGCAAAAAGGGGCTATCTGCTCGCGCCTAGGCGCAGCCAACGGTTGTTGAGGTAATGAGAGTAGGTACTTGATTATGTTGTTGGGCTTCAATAGTTTGAACTGCCCCAAATAATTTGCACTAATGATAATGACTTGACTTAGTGAGAGAGGTCAGGTCAAGTTAATGTTGGCTTGTCAGAGCAACACTCATTCGCTGCCAGCCTTGATGCCCCTCACGGTTGTTGCGGAAATGAGCGGAGGTACTTGTTATGTTGGGGGGCACCCAGTTAAACTGCCCCAAATAATTAGTCATCAATGACTTAGACTTAGCGGGAGCAGGTCAGGTCAAGTTCATGTTGGCTTGTCAGAGCAACGCTCATTGGCCCCAGCCATGGGTTGCCCCTCTTAAAGGCATCGTCTCGTATCAACCGCTACTTTTGTTGCGGTTTAATTTTTTTTTTCAAGGAAGTACAACTGACATAAACTAAGGAGATTGAAATGAAAAGATAAATGCTTAAATAAAAGTGTTACGCCTTGAACAAATATACCGCGAATCATTGGTCGCAGACTCGCAGCAGTGATTGAAGAGCTTCCCGTAATGATTTGGCGTGGGTCTGTTCTTGTTGGCTTATCAGAGCAACACTCTTTCCGAATGGTGCTGATGTGACACGTTGTCTTCGGTCTTCAGCAAATTGTACGATGTTCGATTTAGTTCCTAGCAAATAAAAAAATACATTATGGTCCCTAAGAAATTTAATATAGACCAATTTAGTTGAAATCGTGATCACTCACCAAAAAGGCTCATATTAGTCCTCAAAAAGACTAAAATGGGTTCATTTTGTATTTCTTAGAGACCACGATAGACCTTTTTATTTGCTAGGGACTAAAACGGGCATCATAAAATTTGTTGAGCACCAAAAATGATATTTACTCTAAAATATAATGTCTTATCAATTTTAGTCTTGAAGTTGAGAAATTAAAAGTGGAATCATTTAGTTGAAATTGTGGTCCTTAATAAAATAGGGACCATATTTTTTGTTTGAGATCCAAAAAATGTTTTACTCAAAAAAAAAAGAAACTATATCTTTATTGACATATTTATTAAGATCAAAAGAACTAAATAAAGATCACATGCTCAACAAGTTCTATCCTTATTTCATATTAAAAAGGGTGACTTACTCGAATTGCATAGCTATATATCAATTTCCCAATCAACGATAACCATCAATTTATTCCATAGGCGATCAAATTATGAAATGCAATATAAAGTAAAACACTCAAAAGAGAAAATGGAAGTAACTTAGATCCATTTACAATTAAGATTTAATCAAGCCCCAAACTAGCGAGGTTTAACCACTCATAGAATAAAATAAAAAATAATAAACTAATAAGATAGCTATAATAACTCGTACTAAGTAATAAACACTCAAAAGAAATTGGGGATGTGTGACAAAATTAAGATATATTAATGAAATTTTTAAAAAAATTTATTAATGAGAATAAAATCATTGTTTAGATAAAAATGAAATTTTAGTAATTTTCGGTAAAAGTACCGTAACCTTATATATTAAATCATTTTTCAGAAAAGTGTAGTTACAAAAAGTTTTAGAGTAAAATATGGAATTTACCTAAATATCATAAGTAAATTAGTGAGAAACTAATTTATTAAATATATGAATAGAAACACATATTTAGATATACTAAGTATTGGTTAGAAATTGAGTAAGAATAGAAAAATAAAATAGAAAGTTATTATATTTTGGGAGTAGACCAAAATATGTTACCCTAATAAGTGAAACAGAGAAGAGAAAGAGAGGTTTTGAGTGAAAATCTTCCAAAAATCATAACTTAAGATAGGGTTAACGAAATTGAGTGATTTCAAAGTCAAATTTACTTGGAATTTCATCCTTTACAAATTCATACTAGTATTTTTGAGTGGGTCTCAGTAATGAAGGAAATCTAATCCTTCAAAGATTTCGATATTCATGGGAAACTTATGATTTTTGGAGCTTGAAAACTCACTCTCCCTTCATTCTAGTGTTGATTGTAGTAAGAAATCCCCTTTCAAATCAAGTCTTTATTAAGATTCATGAAAGTTAGGTTTCTCATAGCGCTACAAAATTGTGGAATTTGATGAGTTAGGGGATGTTTTGTATGTGAATTCTCTTGTTAAAGATGCTTAGAAATGTCTCTTGATAATGAAAAAACAAAGAAACAACCATTTAGAACACTTTGATTTTGGATCATGAAAGTGTATTATGTTTCTTAGTGTCCATGGTTGGAAAATGGATTGTTGATCATGGATTGTTGTTGTGTGGTTGTGTAGTGTTGCTCCTATTGATATGGTTGTGGAAGAATTCATCTTGCAGCCAACCATTGTACAAGATTAGGAATCTTGGAGAATTTTCAAGGAAAGGATCTATGTTGATCATTGTGCCATAAGTTGCCTTGTGTTGATTGTGATTGTGTGGCTCTTACAATAGAGAAGGGGAAAGAATAGAGAGAAAACACGTAAAATTCTTATTCGATAACTCTATCATACAAGCAACTCTTATTTATAAACCAAGTAGAACCGAATAGGCGCATGAAGGAAACACCTTCCTTATTAAGGGGAGATCAAATTATGAAAGATTATAATGAACCCAAACAACATTTTAGATAAATTAAGGGTTTAATATTTTTGTTTTTACTGCAGAAAAAATTTTCTGCCACAATTATATAAAAGTGAGTGAGTTTAACTAACTTTTTCTCCTCTTCTCTTTATAATGGAATCCAAAAACATTTTTCTCATAAATAAATTCCACATCAAATCTAAAAAAAAATCTTAAATCTAATAAATTAACGAGTGTATATATATATATATATATATATATATATATATATTTCTAAACATATATATATTTCTTGTGTAATTCATTGATTCTCATGTGAGACTTTATCATTTGAATTTCCAAAACAAATATAAAGGTAAAGTACAAAAAATATACTCTTGTGTATTCTTTTAGTTTGACATCTGCATTTTTTTTTATCATACACATAGTAATGTCTTATGTAGGGAGGAGTTTTGCACCATGCGTACATCAAATTCATTTAAGCCTCTTTACCTCACGGCATCTCCTTCCCACAAACTTTTTATTCCTTACCATTTTCCATTCCCATACACATTTTTCCAATTAACTCACAATCTTAAAGGCTTTTCGTTTAGTTACTCATTGCAAAACAGGCAGAATTTGCACACGAGTTTGAGTAATAGAACTCCCCCAATAATTCCTTTGGGCACTTAGAAAATACAGGTAAGCAAAATAATTTGGACAAAGGGCATTAAATAACCTATGTTAATGAGAAAGTTAAAAGGAAAGTAAAGAAGAGATTTACAAAGTTGGGAAGGATAGATTCTTAGTAACTCTTCAAAGGCAAGACAACTTGATAGCATCCAATGTGACAACTGCCGTAGCTCACACTTCATCTTTTATATATTAAAATAGATTTCCTCACAAAGCATTTTATTGATCACATGGAAACACTTGTCACTTTGTAACAATAACAGAAACTTTTTTTTTTTTTAATGAATTAACTATATACATAACATATGACAGAAAGGTTGTAGATAATACAAAGAGCAATATCCAGATCCTAGCAATTGACCTGCTTACTTCTTTGTGGTTATTAAGACTTAAGACTATTAAGCTCCATAATGCTGAAGGAAGCAATAATCCAAGATTATATAATTAATCTTAGCTTTGCAATCTGGACTGTGAACGTCTACAGAAGTCAAAACAAAAGGGGGGAAAATGTTAACTTGGATCAAATAGCCAAGTAATTTGTTAACTGCTTATACACATCTAATCAGGAGAAAAAGTTCTAGTGAAGGAAATTCAACATTTGAGTAACTACAATTTTTTTTTCCTCTCATTGATTATGTGACATACCTTGTGCCATGTTTTTTGAGACTCTGCTGCTTGGACACTGGTTGTTGAGGTTCATCACTTGGAACAGGTATTGTCTTCACCTGTGACATTTGACATATCAAAAGTGGTAGCCATCATAGAGGCTGATTACATTACAATAATATATTATTCTGTATATGTTCCCAACGACCAAATATATTGACTTACCAAATTCTTGAACATCAGATTATAGAACATGTGAATGTATGTTTGCTTTGCCTCTTTTTGCTCATTATTTACCCGCTTCCAGAAGCTATAAATGCTTCCCGTATTCAGCAACTTGTTTGCATAGATCTTCCATGTATAGCTATAAAACAAAGCCATGAAGTTTGAGATTTTGATTGTTGCACAAGAAAAGGGAACCTTGAACGAATGCTGCCTTGCAATGCATTGTAGGTGTAACATAAATGTTTAACAAAAACTATTCTAATATGGAGCTATGAAACTAATGTTGCTCGTTTACCATTCATTTATGCGCTGCAATCCAGCTTCTGAAATTTTATTCCAATGTGTTGAATCAACTTGGCATTTTTCAAAGAAATCAGCAATTTTGTTGCTTGATTCATCTCCATTGAGGGGATCAATATGGAAACCACAGACCCCATCAACAATAATTTCTGCTGGACCTCCTTGGTTGGTAGCAAAGGTAGGCAAACCACAGTTCATTGCTTCAATGACAGTGAGACCAAATGCTTCATACAAAGCAGGCTGCACAAAAGCTCCCTTTGTGTCAGCAATGAAGCGGTAAAGCTCTCCGTTGCGGTGTCTATCAGTTTGTGCAGCAATCCATCTGAATTGACCCTTGAGTTTGTACTTTTCAATCAAACCATGCATCTTTCTTATTTCTGCCATTTCCTCCCTGTCTTTGGATTTCAAAGGGTCAAAGAAGCCTCCAACTATGACAAGGTTCACCAAGTTTCTCAATCTGAGGTTCTTCCCATACCACTCAACTAACCCGGTTAAGTTCTTCACAACATCAATCCTTGCCATTGAGAAGATGATGGGTTTTCTTCTGTTTTCTAGATATCCACTGTTTCCATAACAATTTCAGCAGAGAAAATTAATCACTTGGAACTTAGAAGAATATAGTAACTCTTATAACATTAAACACAAAAGAGTAGCATGTAGCAAATAATTCACTTACATATGCTCATTGTTATCCAATTTACTGTACAATAAGTCTTCAATGGCAGGATGAAATTGAGTGAGTCTTTTGCCTTTCTCTGTGTAAGGGAAATAGACACACTGGTCAGCTCCAGGTGCAGCTATGTTGAACTTGGGATCAAATACATTTGTTCCTGAAACAACCCTACAGAGCCCTGGGAGTGTAAATGTAGCATGACTTTCATATTGTCCAGGTCTATCTTTGCTGCATACAAGAACTTTCAGAATTCAGTGTGCTATACAAACTTCTATTGGTTTTTCTTCTTCATTTATAGATACTGGTATTTTCTAACTGTGTAAGTGAATTTTCTTGAGTGTGCCAGACAAAAGTACGAATAATACAGAAGGGTTGTGAAAATTAGTTGTTTTCTTTTAGTATGACATCTAACCTTCCGGCAATTTCCTGATATGTGCTGGTTATGATGAAATCTGATGCATTCATTGCTATTGTATCAGCCATGAATTGGCATGAGAAGTGATACTTGGGATCTAATTCTTTCCACTTGACATCTGAATCTTCATACTTAGTCTTCTCTAAAGCATGTGCTATAGTTCCCTAGTTTATAAGCAACTTGAGGAATCAGTACATGTGGCAAAAAGGACATCCTCACAGCCACAAAAGTTGTTGAATAGGAAAACTTCAATAAAGGGGTAGTGACCTGAGTTATCCCAAGTTTCCTAGCCATAAGAGATGCTGCCAGATTCCCGTCAGTGTAATTTCCTATAATAAGGTCTGGTTTTCCTTCCATGAGGTTGAGAATCTTGGCTGTGGCATCCTATTAACATGAAATAAAGAACTGGTCAGATAGAAAATTCATCAGAGGAAAAAGCAACCATGTAAAGGTTCTTATAGCAGATATGTATATATATACATGCCTGAGTAAACCTCTCAAGATAAGGATAAATGTCAAAGCGAGAAACCCATTGACGCAGGATTCCTTTCTCTGTCTGAAAAGGCACACGTAGAATGTTGGAGTGTTTGGTATCAATGATTGGTTCCAACTCCTGATTGCACTTGGTTCCTTGAGCATCAGGTATGAGCCTTGTGACCTGTCATGGTCAAGAATATACTTGCATGATTCTATTAAAAAGTAAGTGCTACGTAGAAACGGATGACTATTTTGCATGAAACTAACCACAAGAATTTGAGGCTTCACATTTAGTCCTTGTTGCTTAATTCTTAGCAGCAACTCTGCTTCAAGAGCTCTAACTTGATCCAATATGTAAACTACCTATTCCAAATTGCACAAGAGCAAATGTTAAAGTTGGCAAGGGTAGTAACTTGTAAGAGATTGTCATGAACCAACTAATCCTAAGAGATCCTCTAGAATACCTTAAATTATATTAGGGACAGGATCCGTTTACAAACTTTTTTGAATTTTTTTACAAATTACACTATATTATCCCGGGAGAACATAATGTAGTTTGTAAAAGTTTGTATTCTCCCGGAAGAATATAGTGTAGTTTGTAATAATTTGTAAACAAAAAAGTTTGTAAATATAACCTGCGCCATTATATTAAGATATAATATTAATATTACAAAATATCATCTAGATATTTCAACTAAGAAGCATTTTTAAGATTTTCACTTAATAACAAAAGTATAGAAATGTTACCTGTCCACCAGTGTCTGGCAAGCCAAGAACATTTGCTTGACCAAAATAGCCATGAATAGAGAATATCACAACATTGAATATTGTGGGAACTCTGCTGAAAAATTTCTCCATATTCACTGGGTCTGGAGCTTGGAGTATTTCTGACAAAGTTTCCATTGTCTCATTCACTCTTCCTGCAGTATCTCCCCATCCTCTCTCAAAACCCCATTCCTTGAGGCTGTAATGAAAATGGCATTGAATTAGTGAATTATAAATACTGGTTCACTTTAAGTTAAAGGGGTTTACCTTAGCTCAAAATCCTGGTAGGGAGTATCTATGGGAATTGCCGAGAGGTATACATCAGCCATTATCAGTGCCAGCTGAAGCTTTCGTGCAGTGCTCAATGTGTTATTTATCATCAGGCTCTGCCAGTGTAGATGACAAAAAGGAAGATGCATGTTCACAAATATATTATAGGGAAAAAAATGTTGGTAATGTTTTATGAATTTTAATCATATTCCCCTTACTTCTCCTTGATGATTTAGAGATAACAAGTAGTCCACTATAGGCTGTGTTTTTGTCAAATTCCCACTAAACCTTGAAGTTAAGAACTTTGAAACAAAATGGAGTCCATTTCCAATTGAAGAAGACAGGGTTAATTTCGGAATAGGGAAATCAAATGCTCCAAAATCTGCTTCAAATGCGTTTTCATTGTTAGCCCTGCAACATAGACCCAAGTTAACCATCAAAACTACGAAGTTTTGATGTGGTATGGTACAAACAACAAAGTTTGACCACTTTGTGTTGATATATTTGTTATATTAGCGGGCTAGTCTTTCTCTCGTCCTCTACTTTTATATGTGATAAATTTAAGATTGGTTTTGGCTTAAATAGATTAGGTCCGTGTAAAATATTTTAAGTCTGGCCTGGTCTGTTAATTTGATACAGACCTAATTATAATACTGGCCTGACTAATATTTTAAAAACAAGAGTAAACATTCTTTTTGGTCCCTGGCAATATCTACAAAATCTTTTTTAGTCCCTGGCAATAAAAAAGGACGAAATTGGTCTCTAAAATTATGAAAAAAGGGTCACGTTAGTCCTTATGTCAACTCTTTCGTCACTAACGTGGCTCTTTTTACATACTGTTAGGGACCAATTTGGTCCTTTTTTATTGCCATGGACTAAAAAGGATTTCGTAAATATTATCAGGGACCAAAAAGAGTGTTTATTCTAAAAACAACTGTCATGAGTAATTTATCCATAATTCAGGTGTCTCATTTTGAACGATAGCAATATCCATTAGTGGCTGCAAGGGAGAACTAAAAATGCTCTCCCCATTTGGATGGACTGATTTAATATAAAGAACGTAAAGGACAAAAAAGAAAAAAGACCAATATGTGAGAAGCATTGTTAAGAAAATAAATGCAAATCAGAGAAGAAGAGGGATGAGAAAATTTGTTGTTTAGAAGTTTAATAAGGAAAAGAATGTAGGACAGAATAAAAGCTTACAAAAAATGAAGAGAAATGACATACCATTTTTCATCATATACCCTTTCCTTGAATTTGAGGTAATCCGTGGAGGTGATACCCTCAACTGAAAGGTCCTCAGAGCTCACTCTTACAAATTCCCAAACTCCAGGATTTGGCCTTACTGCAAAGGCAACATATGGTGGATCAACAACAGCTTCCTGCAAGTTTCAGGTGCAAAGCATTAATATCCAAATACTAATGTTGTCTCATTGCAACAACAAAAGGTGAATTAAAAACAAAGAAAAAAAAACCTGTGTAGAGCTCAATATGAAGCCAAGATTTCCTTCCAATACTTGATTCCTGTCACTATTGTCATTTATAACTTGCTCCATTTCTTCCATCAGGTGATGAAGTTTTATAATCCTTCTCCCATTTTCAATGTACTTCGCAAAGCACCTCTTAATATGGTACCTACTCTGCCTCAATGCATCAGGCATGTTATCAGTTGGTGCAGAAGCCATTTCAAGAAATTGATAATGATAATAATAAAAAAAAAAAAGGTAAATTAAGGTTTTGAAACTCGTTAAGGAAGATGATATGGTTGTTGCTCTAAGGAGATGTGTCTCAATTTATATGCATAGATCCATGAGGTAACTTTCTAGGGTCGAATTGGCCCCACTAAAGGAGGTAGGCATGCATGGATTCAAGTGTTGGAGAAAGAACATTTGCAAAGGCCAATGTGAATAAAATTTCTAACTGGGAATTATAGGTATCATTCTTTTCTTCTTTCTGTGTCGTTATGGTTATTATATATGTTTGTGTGTCACCATGAGAAAAAGAATATGGAAAGCTGCCATCTTCAAGGCATTTGCTTTTTGTGTCTAATGTACACAAAATGGATACCTAGTAGTTGAGTTTCATCCAAGATTGATAATGACATGAGAAAGAATAATGATAAGGAAATAATATTTCAAATATTTTAATAGAAAAGATTATATTGACAAGCTTTTTTTCTTACGAACTTACAAACTACAATATAAATCTGATCAGTCATACACTCTTGATTGAAGTATGACGGGTCAGACATAGTATAGTTTGTAAGAGTTTGTAAACAAAAAATTTGTAAACATAATCTTCCCTTATTTTAATATAAAATATTTCAATCCAATAAAATTATATTTTCTATAGCTCATGCTGTTGCAATACATCCTATATTATACAACCCCTTGCTCACTCAAATAACTAGATTTTTCATTCGTTAATCAGGCTAAAAGGAACATAACATGTCATATTCATAACAAAAATATAGGTGAGGGTGTCATGCAGTATCTTGTCGGTCTTGAAGAAGATTGATTACATCAATATTAACGACACAAAATAATTAGATCAGCAAGAATATTATTTTGAAAATCATATGTTTGTGTTAACTTCTTGTATAACACTTAAAAAAATTTAAAAATGTTACATATAACCTAAAAAAATATAATTATGTTAAAATTAATTAGTCATTATGATAATTTTATTTGCTTGTGTAAAAATTTGTATTCAAATTTATTATACGAATATATCTTTTCTGTAACACCTCGTTCTAGAACCGGTTTGTTAACATCGTATTATGATATTAAGCGCAGTTACAATCACATGGGTTCAATTAAAATCCGGTTAAATTTTTCATTTTAAAACATGCCGAATTTATAATGCTCAATTGCGTGATCATAACCATATTACATTGCGAAATAAAATAAATTAAGCTTAACATCATACTCTTATATCCTTAGACCAAATGTTATTAAATGTCTTCTCCTAATCATTAGCTACGCGTGGCTTCGAACCGCGCCTCGTTTGGAGCACTGTAGCTCGCGTTATGACAAATTGGAGCAACACAAGAGGGTGTTGAACACAGGCCCCGCGCGCTTCAGCGCGTTACCGGGCGCTCAAGCGCGCGTTATCGGGCGCTAAAGCCTCCATCTGGGCGCTTAAGCGCACGGAGGCAGAGAGCATCAGGTCTTTCAGTGTAAATGGGCGCTTAAGCGCGCACCAGGGCGCTCAAGCGCGATATCCTGGGCGCTTAAGCCCCCATTTGGGACGTTTTAGCGCGCAGTGTAACATCCCCATCTCGAGCCGGTTCAATTAACATACATATGATATAAACAGATACAGCAGAAGACTTATCTTACGGAAATACAGGCTAACTTTTTCTTTTTCTTCTTAACTTCATATAAAGCATACCAAAAATCGGACAGAGTAACCTCTGTAAATCGGACAACTGGGGATTTTCCAATCCCACTCCCAAGAGTTCCTGATAGACAATTTCAATAATATTCATATTCAGAAGTACCAGTCATGCAATATAATCAGATACCCATCCATGGGCGCATGCAGAAATTGGCTCCATGCCACTAATCTAACAGCATGCAGTCCAATACAGAAACATAACTGAATACTACATAGTCATATCAATATGCCTGAATACAAAAGGTACATGCATCAACTGAATGACATGTACAAGACATATACAGGCCATATACAAAATACAGGATCTAACATAATGATCCATCACTACGGAAATACGAAATACATAGGTACACTCCAAAAAGATTAGTAGCCTACAGCTACTCAAAATACTGATCCGTCAAACGTCTCAGCCCCGTGTCGTGTCCCTGCCTAACGAAGGCTCACCGGAAGTCTGTGCACCTGAAAATGTTGCCCCAACGAGGGGTAAGATTTCAAATCTCAGTAAGCTCCAGGTTTATAGAGAATTCTCCATACCCCTGGCTCACTCCTGCATGAAAGTCAGATACAGAGTATACCAGTACAACATATAACAGATATCATAACAGAACAGAACATATAACCATATCATAACAGAAGTGTGCGCTGTAATTCCCAAGGAATGACCCCAAGCAGAATTCAACGCACGTGTTTCCAAGGGATGACCCCAAGCGGAACCAGAGTATCTATGAGGTGTACATTGTCAATCTCAGGAAAACCCCAAGAAGACATCAGTGTACCAGAAGTCAATATAGAACCCATATCATACCCAGTCATATCATATCGTCTCATATCAAATCATTTCATATCATATCAAATCATATCATATCATATCAAATCATATCATCAAATCACTCTATATGAATGCACCTATACAGAGTATCAACAACAGTCATATAGTCCAACCGCAGTTCACTAACCATGGTGGAGCACTCAAGTAGGAAAAGACTCCTTAAACATAGAGCTTACCTCTTGAAGCTTTACCAATACCTTCACTTGTTGCGCAAATATTTATATTGCTTCAAAAGAATTACGTTCCTTCTCAATCCCTAGGCACACCTAGAGAATAATTTCCAATGCATCAATAAAATGATATTATGCCATAATTATTTCATAAGCACACATTTTATTGTTTACTTTACTTTCTTTATATTTTTGCCAATACACAAGTCTAGCCCATTTTAACCAATCATTCATATAATTTCATGTATTGTACTCAACACTTTAACCAATTAATACATGCTCTATCTCTATTTATTTTTACCCTATTAGGCCAAAAATCCTAGAAGGAAGGCTAAGGGTTTTCTTTCTTGTCCATTTGTTTTCCTTCACTTAATTTAATACTCTACATACATAAACGTACCTCTCCTAAATTCCAACAAAACTTTTGGAACTCAAGCCTTATAAACCATCAAGGCCGAACCTCAAGGGGGGTAGGTTTCCAAAAGATTTCTTTCCAATTAATCATTCATATCACTTTATCACTTTACACTAAATTACAACATGTTTTTCCTTGTCAATAAATGCAATAAGAATTTACACACTAACCCCCTAAACTCTACAAGGCCGAGCCATCAAGGGGAGGAGGCATAAAATTTTCCTTCAATTTATTAAATACATAATCATGCTTATCCTTCCATTTACACATAAAAATTATCACTTATTCCTCTTCATTACATTTTTAACCCACCAAACCTTCACATCCATGGCATGTATATATGATTTTATAACTTATATAACCTCACATTAACATGGAAGTGAAGATTTGTTACCTCAATATCACAAATCAAGACCTAGGAGCCTTCCATCAAGTAGAACTTCATGGAAAACTTCATCTTCTTCAAGTGGTGAATAGTGCCACGGTTTTCGGAAGGAAAATAACTCCTCCTACACTCGACAATAGCTCACATGGAGGGTTGGAATGGCTTCATTGTGTGGTTTCCATGCATTTTCATGTAGTGGGTCATGTATTTTGGTGGAAGATTCAAAGGAAATCAAGCAAAAAAATCAACAAACCCTATCCCTTTCTCTCCCAAGTGCAGATCGGGTTTTAGAAGAAGAGAAGAGAGAGAAATTGTTTTGAAAGTGAGACTAAGGTGACTTAAAAAGTGGGCACATGTGGCCCTTTTTAATCCGGTTATTTTTCTATCGCGTGTTTTACTTAAAATGATCTGGAACATAACTTAAAGCTACAAATATATTTTTATTTTTCTAAAGTCATTTACATTAATTTTTTTTTCCTAAGGAATAATATTCATAATTCACAGTATGGTTTCTGCACCGTTTTTGACGAAATGCACTGTGAACCACTGACTGTCAGTCTTTTATTTTCGAAATTCAAAACTTATAAACTTATCATTATTGGGTCTATTTTGCCTTGTATGGCATATATTGGACTTCCTTACTCTTATTCCGTCATTTATTTATTTTCTGGACTCTACCGGTTAATTCACAGTACTGCGAATTCTCCGACAGAACACACTGCTCATAACATAGTCATGATTACAGTCAAAATACTCGTATTTACTCTTTGAATCTAATTATGACATTTAAATCCTTAAATTAAATCTCTAATTAAGATTTACCAAGTTGGGTCATTATACGCAGAGGCATAAACATCTCCACCTTCAGTGGTTAAGGGCGCTCAAGCGCGAACCAGGGCACTCAAGCGCGCAACCCTGGGCGCTTAAGCCCCCACTTTGGGCGCTCCAGCGAGAGGAGGCAGAGAGCATTAGCTCTCACAGGGGCAGCAGGGCGCTCGAGCGCGCTCCTGGGCGCTGGAGCGCGCTGCCAGGGAATTCTCCCTCTCTCATTTCTCAAGTCCAAAACTAGGGAAAGGGCATCCCCATGGCAAGCCTCAATGGATTAAACCCCTCCTCATGGGTTATACTAAAATTTGGGCAGCATAACCTTTGTTTTCTTAACATTCCCCAATTTAGCACTAGGTATATAATCAAGTTTTCCAGCTCAACAATCCAATACATAATGAGCATGCATATAATGAACTTAAGGTAATCATCAATTACAAATCATGTTCATTACAATTCATGGAACTTAGCTTACAAAACACTATGATCACTCCCTTGGCTCTCATCAACAAAGAGATAACCAAAGGCATGAGCATAGGCTAAGTCCATTCCAAATAAACAGAACATACATCCATCAATTGTCTATTAATTACAATCCTATACATGTGAGCTACAAAACAACATGTATAATATCAAAATACAAGATCCTCATGCATCACTACTAGTCCAAGTATGGCCACTTGCCATTGGTGGCTCCTGCAGCATCCTTACCTGAAAGGGGGTCCCCACAACACGGGGTGAGATATACGAATATATCCAGTAAACCAGGGGTCCTTGGAGCATCTCTCCACCCCACAGTTCCATATCAGTGTAATAGCAATAACAATAATAATGCAGTAAATACATATCTATGCAAAGTGCAATAACATCTCCAGGAGAAATCCCTTGAGCTCTCAAGTTGTCCTAAGGAAACTCAGATGCAAATAGTCCTACTGGCCAGCTAAACTACCAAGTATGATTTACGCATCGTCATGCAACATACCACATAGGGAAACACCATCCTATGCCACACCAAATGCATACACATACGTATAACAAAGCATTACACTATTTCATTGTGTTTATATACACTATAACTACCACTACTCTTTCAGGGCTTGGTGGAACAACCAAGGAAATTACACCCAAGGTCCGAAGGCTTTCCTCAAGCTTCTGCCAACCTATGTTCTCCACCAACAGGTTCCACAACTAGTCAACTTTAATTCCAATTATTATTTGCAATTTCACCTACATTAAGGTGCCATAGTATCAATCATGCCATCCAATGAATATTCATATATACTCATTAATACCACAACAACTCTACATCACAATTTGGCATGAGCTTACCTATTCCAAGGAGCTAACCAAGCTCCATTGCTTGCTCCAATGGTTGATCACTTACGGTTGGTCCAAATGCCTCAATCCTAGGCATCATTAGGACACAATCATCAATCAACCAACCAAACCATTTATCACTAATGCAAGAAAATCCAATATCAATCATTAAATCTTGCCATTTTCAAAGTATAGTCATATAACTATCTAAGCTCATTTTCAGCGATTAATCATCATTCCTAGCATTTCTCATAACATACACTAAGCTCCAATCTACTAACATTATCACAAAAACCCTAAAATATTATTCATTAAACCCTAAATCATGGAATTTCCAAGAGAGCAAAGTTCAAGGGTTAAAATCTTACCACCAATGGTCACACAACCAAGGATTGATGGCTCCTCAAGCTTCAATGGAAGTCGAAGCTCTCAAACACCTCAATTTCTCCAATGGGCCGAATTTTTGGAGGAGGATATCCCACTCCACAATGCTCCCCACTAAAAACTAAGTTAGGATTATGAAAGAGGAGAAGATTTGGAGTGGTTTAGGCTTTGGAATGAGTTGATTTGGCCAAGGTTTGCTCACTCCATGGTTTCCCCTTCTTCTTCCCTTTTCTCCCTCTCCTTCCGTCTTTCTTTTCTTCTCTGATGCTGGTTTGACGGGGAAATGAGGGGCTTGGGTTCTTTTTTTGTTTTATACCACTTAACCTTATGTTAAGTGGTTTTAAGTGGGTATCAGTTCATCTATCTATTTAACTCCAATAATTACCAAACTTAACCCAAAAGTCTGGAATATTATTCTAGGAACATTTCCACTTTTATTTATATATTTTAGGTACTTTTGTCTGCACCCATTTATACCCCTTAATTTTCACTGAGTACACTTTTTAACTCCAAAGTGACTCAGATTCATTTAATTAAGCCTTATACTTAATTTTACTCACTAAAACATGCTTACTTATTTAATTACATGTAATCTGCTAATTAATTAGGTTAGGGCTATTATATTTTCAATTATGATTTAATCCATTTTTGCCATTGAAAGAATAATGTAACTGCTTTTGAGTAAATTAATTCAAAGATTTTATTTTCTGATTTAATGATACAAAGCTTCTAATATTGAGCATAATAGTATATTTCAAACATTTTTGTAAGTCTTTTAGTATAAATAATATATACTATATACTTTTATGTAGAAATTTTATTTGATAGAGTTTTCTAAGTGTAAAAAAAAAGTTAATTGAAGAATGAATTGATACATCATGAGCTTGATATAACAATATATCTTGAAGCAAATAAGTTAGATAATATTTCCAACTCATGTCAAAAGATTGATGAAAATAGAGACCTGTAAAACATTTAGAACCTATTAACCTCTGGCTCTAGTAAAGAAATTTTTCTGCATTTATCCTGGATATCAGCAATACAAATTTGGTTTCTCCAAAATCAGATGTTTATTTTAAAGAAATTTTTTTCGAGGTGTCTCAATCATTAACAACAAAAATAAGGAATTAGATTCTAATGATTATATGATTTGTCATGCATGTGCAGGAAATATCAAATATTCATATTCTCATTAGGATCATTTATTTATTTCAATTTTTATGCATGCCGGTTGGATATGTGGGCTAATTCAATAATGGGCTAAAACAACGGGCCACCGGGTCACTTCGTTTAAATGACCCGCATCCTCCTTCAAAAATTTTACGCATAAACCCCATCAAATTAGGGTTTCGTTCGGCGCACTCTTCTTCCCTTTATAAACACATTCACCTTCTCTCCTCTTACTCGCTCCTCTCCTCTTTCAAAGTTTCAATCTTTCAAAATGTTTTCGATTTGGGGTTTCGTTTTTGGGTTCTGGGTCTGTCTTATTTTGTGGAATCATGCGTCAATTACTGATTACCGGTGCTCTAAACCTAATGGGCATTGTGTATGAGATGACGCCACAGCAATTCCTTCCTGCAATCTCTGGTGCACTGTTTTTCTTAGGGTTGATTCAGCCCTTTTAGCTCAGTTCCTATTGCAGAATAGGAAAATTCTCTGCTGATTTCATAAGGTTTTCAAATTTACTCTTTTTTTGTGTTTTGGGATTTGCGCTAAGGAATAGATCTACAATATATGCTTTTTGTGTGTGTGTTTGCAAATTTGAATTTAGGTTTAGATAATGTAGAGTTGGAATAGATATGAGGAGACTTTCCCCAAATGATCGAAGTTGATTTTAACTTTGCTATTTACATAATTCACTCTTCTTCAAGGAGGATTGAATTTATAAGCCAGAACTCTGATCTTCCTACCAACTCAATTTAATATATAAAGATACTTTTTTTTAGTGATTTTAACTTTTAGTTGCAATAACAGGAGCATGTTTTGGTATTGGATATGAACTTTGTGATGATTGTTGGTTGCAATTTTGTGTTGCTATTGGTGAGTGTCTAGTAATGTGTTGCATTGCAATTATGGAAGTGATGATTATTTCCCCAGATGATCGACGCTGATTATACTGTGCGATTTTTTTCTCTGTGGAGAAACCAAGCCAATTAATCTGATCCATAATTGCATTTTAATATTTGCAACTATTAAGGGTTGGTATAGATTACTGAAAAGTTTTGATCTATGTTATATAGCCAATCATTTAATTTAATTTAAGTTGGTGAGTATTATGAGATTTTATTTCAGTGGTAATGAATGAGTTTTGTGTACATTATATAGGAGATTTGTATGAGATGGTTGTGTTGATAATAGCATTGAGGTTTTGTCGGAAACACTAATTGTTAAGGTTATCTTGAGTCTTGGAGGAATGAGCAAAAAAGGGTATCTGACATTTATTTTTAGTATGGCATGTACCCGATTGTCTTAAAATATTTTCTCCAGAAATCATAGAACAGAAGTTTAATGCTTGCACTGCTTTCTGTGTGGATTGCAAGTTTGGCTCTTCTGTTACATATATCCCATGAACCAAGTCCTTTTCGAATCGGTGCCCATTTTAATTATGAGTTAGCATAGTATTTGGAAAACATAATGTGCTAAATATTTCTTCCAACTTAATCTTAGGGTAGGCTTGCTTCCTAATAGTTAATTTGTCTTTTCCATCAATTTTTCAAATTATTATCTGGTTAATCATATTTGCGAATAAACTGGAAACTCTTGCAAATTATCTGAATCGTAATAAATTGTGAAGTAAAATATTAACTCCCAACTCTTAAAAATAAATTTCTTATTTTGATAATGTCTTGAAATTTTTAAAATATAAAACATAAGGTGATCTCTTGAAAAACGAAAAATTAAATATATTTTTAGGGTCTATCATCTATTATTTAACATCACAAAAAGTTTTCTACAAACAATATTTTGTGGGGCTCGCAACAAAAAAAAAAAATTCGACACGCAAAATGAATCCCTATAATATAACTTAGGTAAATGAAAATTAAAAATTAACGGTGTTTTTGACTTTTTGTTTTTAAAAACTGTTTTGAAGTTAAATTTTGAAAATTGATTTTAGAGTAAAAAAATAATAAAATTTGTTTGATTATAATTAATTTTAAAGTTATAAAGATGTAGTATTATTAATAAATTTTTATATTTACAAGATTGTTATTGTAAAATAATTTAAAATAAAAATAAAAATTAATTTAATTACGAAGATGTCATTAATGAATTTTTATATTTACAATAATGTCATTACAAAAACAAAAAAATAATTTTTGAAAACATCTATTAGTTGTTGTACTTTTTCAATTTTTAAAACAAAAAATTAGATCCTGTTGAAAACAAATATAATGAAAACACACTTTCCAGACACTTTGTTTGATTTCTGGTTTTCATAACAGTTTTTAAGTTTTAAAAACAAAATAAGTTGTTTGGAAAAACAAAACAAAATAAGTTGTTTGGAAATAGTATTTTCAGTATATTTGTTTTCAAAACAGCATCTGGTTTTTTATTTTAAAAATTAAAAAAGCAAAACAATTAATAGATGTTTTCAAAAATAGTTCTTTTATTTTTTTGTTTTTGCGGTGGGCTATAAATATAAGAATTTATTAATGATATTTTTGTAATATTAAATTGTTTTTTATTTTAAATTATTTGCAGTGACAATCTTGTAAATATAAGGATTCATTAATAATATTTATGTAAATAATTACAACTTATTTATAACTTTAAAACTAACTATAACCAAACAAGTTTTATTGTTTTTTTACTCTAAATTCAGTTTTCAAAATTTATCTTCAAAACAATTTTTAAAAACAAAAACACATTCAAACACATCCTTAATAAACACACCCTTGATATACAAACTGTGAAATAGGAAATGATTATATGACTTGAAATTTGATAAACTTTAATGAATAAATTTGAAATCCGTAATTAGGAGTTGAGATAACTTTAAAACTAACTATATTAGGAGTTGAGATAACTTTAAAACTAACTATAATCAAACAAGTTTTATTGTTTTTTTACTTTAAAATCAGTTTTTTCAAAATTTATCTTCAAAACAATTTTTAAAAACAAAAACACATTTCAAACACACTCTTAATATACAAACAGTGAAATAGGAAATGATTATATGACTTGAAATTTGATATACTTTAATGAATAAAAATGGAAAGAGAAGAACGTAAGCTACAAGTTCTACGTATTATTTATGGGGATTGTATTGGTCCTGTTATATAACAAGTCTCGGTACACACAAAAACTATCGCATTCAACTTTTTATTTTTTGAAACTTTCATCGCCCATACTTTTGTGTTAGTGCTGCAGCATAACAAATCTATTTTCCATTATTTATTGCTCTTTGATAAAAGAATGCAATTCAGCATTTCTTTGCAATAAGACACCCTACCTGCAAACAATGCGGGCCTTTTTAGGTTATTACCGAGTCATGGCTATCTGTCCTTATGAGCATCTAACAGACAAGTAAATAAATTTGAATTATAGAAACCATTATTTTAGTTAAACCTATACGTACATTCTATGAAGCACCGATATTTCAAAAATCTTGACGTGTCGTGTTCGACACTTTCTGACCCTCCCCGACACTTCGACGCTCGTTGTAAAAACTTAAAAGAAAGTTCAAAGGTTATATTGCGGTTTTAGTTCTAACTATTAGATTCGTTGGATTACTATTACCATTTTATTGAATTTAATATAATATTTGTGATATCTTATATTTCTTTGCAAAATTACTGGGTATTATAAGTTTAGCTTTATTTTTTTGTTAAATTATTGAATATTAAATATAATATACGCAACTTAAATTAAAAATATTATTCAATATCAAAACATGTCCTAACGTGTCAAAATCTAACATTTTTTAGAATTAACGTGTCCGAGTCTCGTGTCGTATCGTGTCCTGTGTCTCGTGTCGGTATCGGTGCTACATAGCGTACATTAGCACGAATATTTATGTTGGAATAATATATACCTAAAATAATCTATATCAAAATCAATAATAGAAAATTAGAAGTACCATAAGATTGAAAGATAAGGAAGAAAAAAAAATTGTATAATAAAAAATACCTAAAATTATATGGGAAATATTTTCTTATGTTATAGAAAAATAGTTACCTAGAAATAAAATCACAAGTAGAACCCACATGCTATGTAGCACCGATATTGACACGGGACACGTGACACGATACGACACGACACTTCGACACGTTAATTATAAAAAATGTTAGATTTCGACACGTTAGGACACGTTTTGATATTAAATAATATTTTTAATTTATATAGTGTATATTATATTTAATATTCAATAATTTAACAAAAAAATGAAACTAAACGTATAATATTCATCAATTTTGCAAAGAAACATAAGATATTCCAAATATTTATATTAAACTCAATAAAATGGTAATCGTAATCCAACGAATCTAATAGTTGGAACTAAAAACTTAACGTAACGCAACCTTTAAACTTTTTTTTTTTTGAATTTCTATAATGCGTGTTGGAGTGTCGGGAAGTGTCGGAGTGTCGGAGAGTGTCGAGAAGTGTCGGACACGACACGTCAGAGTTTTTGAAGTGTCGGTGCTTCATAGCCCACATGTAAGAAAAAAGGAAAAAAAAAAAAAAAAAGATGTGGGACCCATCCCTCTTTTGTGTGTGTAAAAAAATTGATTTTCCCATATAATCCAAACTATATATCTACCGTGAAAATACTATTTGTTGGGGAAACAAATACCTAACAGGATACGAAAAGTCAATCTTATCAACACAGCACCAATAAGCAATAACAACGGCACAAACCATAAATGAGTAAGGAATTAGAAGAAATCATTCCTATTCTTACTTGGTAACTTACCACATTTATCAATAAGTACTACCATATGATTTATTAATGATATAAAAATCTTGATATAATCATAAGTAAAAATTTAATTTCCGTTAAATGGTTCTTTCAATGGTCTCAAGTCCTAGGAAGAATTTTGTCGCACTTATAGTACTCTATAATTCAATCGTATTAGTTGAGTAATTCAAAAAATTGGAGATATTTTAAAATAATAATAATTAAACATACTGTTAGTTATATTAATGATAAAAAAAAGGTTATTAGCCAAGTATCTAGGATTTAGGAACACAGGACATGAAGTCTGAACTGAGGCACCAAGGTCCAAAAGGGACATTTTACAAATTGGAACTAGAAATAGTGGACACTTTGGTTTTGTGGGTCAGATTATGCTATGGAAATTGCTCCTAGTGGACGTTGTTGGTTTTCCCTCCTTGATGTTTATGGCTTCAAACATATATGTTTAAATAATGGGGTCTCACCCTACATTTGTGCATGTACAGTCCTTTTCTTTTACATGCTATTCATTCCACTTTTTTATGTAACTAGCTGGATTTTCATGTAGCTTATGAAGATGATCAAACGAGTTTAATGAGCTCCGGGATTATAAGTATGTGATTATTGGGTGCTGAAAAATGAATTAAAACTCTTAGTAAACACTAGCAGCTTGCTTCATTCTTTTTGCTCTGACTAAATCAACTTTATTAGGATTTAAATCCCTATTGTGTGAGTTCTTGTTATGGTTGATGAAAATTATTTTATTCAATCCTTGGTTGCTGAAGTTGTAACACTGAATATTCATTGTCCTTTGTTTTGTTTTGGTTCAATCACAAATAGGTTTGGTAGAGAAACTTTTCCTGTTGCCTGGAATTGTGTTTTCCAAGACTATAATTGGATAAAAACCTGTTCCTTTGCTTGGTTTGGCTGTGTATTTAACTCGGTTTTTTATTGAAAGGAGTTTAATGGTTTTGTGAATGTTTTTGATTTGAGAAATGGGAATTCAATAAGGAAATGAATCAATAGTAGCTTGAACCCAATAGTAGTCATATATTTGATCGTTGTCATTGTCACTGTCTTTAATTTTCCATTATAAAGACAATGTAATGTTCAATGATTGAGAAGATTTTTTGTAATCTTCTCCTACCGCAGTGGACACCTGAACCCAAATGAAAGAGTCACCAACCTACAACAACTACCGTTGGCTAATGCTAACTTGCATGTGGGGTTCTTCATTCTTATATCTATTGGTTTCCCCACACATGTGAACACAAAGGGTGCTGATGTTGTATGTATTGACGTCTTTGGAATTGTATCGCCAGATTTTGGACGAGATTGAAGCTAATGATTACAACAAAAAAGAATAAATGGCCATTTAAAAAATATATATATGTGAGGGAATAAATTTTATTTATAAAACATGGTTTAGTCTCATGTTATAAATAAAAAAAAATTCTCCGTTTGAAAGTGCATTACATTCCTACACACAATAGGCATCTTAGTTCAATATATAACACTTGAGATGTCTGCAATAATCTTTTACTCGTGTGGTAAACATCAACTAAACATAAATCTCTGGAACATCTTATATATCTTGGATTAAATAGATGCCTTGTGCCAACTTTTTTTGCTATGAAAAAGTTACCACTATCTTAACTAGTGGATAAATGGCATAGCATAAACTATTATCATACATGTCACATGTATATTAGGTTATGAAGCTGTTGAATAACTTGGGTATACTCATATAAGCAATTGAAGAATTAAATTAAGGCCAGTTAAAGTAATTAAATATAACAATTATTTGATGTATTAAAAATAAACATTTGACAAGCAATGAAAACCATATTTTTTTTTAAGTTAGCTACACACACATATCCATACATAAATCATACACGGCGTGATATAAAGTAGAAAACTTCTCCTAATATCAAAATATAGACCACCACCAATCATTATTATTCTCACTCTCTCGCACTCTTATTTTTATTTTATTTTTGCCCCTTTTATGGAAAAAGCATCTAATGAGTGATATAAAGTAGAAAACATCTCTTAGTTACTGAACCAAGTCCTTTAATTTCTTCCAAGCTGGCCTACTTGAAATTTTCTCCCACCAAGCATTCACTTTTTTCCTTTCAGTTATTATGTGTCCCATTTTGCCTTCCTCTATGATTTTTCCAAGACCTGGAAGGTGGCTCAAATCAGCCAAAGTGAACTTCTCCCCAGCAAGATATGTGCTTTCTGAGAGCCTACGTTCATACACATCAAGCACTTTCTCTAGCTTTTGCACACAACTATGAGCCAAGGCCAAATCTCCAGGTTGACCCATACTTGGAAGGATCACAAGCTGAAGCATTAAAGTGAAGCACAAATCATTGAAATTGTGTGCTTCTACTTCAAGCCACTGGTCCACAAGAGCTCTCTCCTCTAAGGTTGTACCCAATAGGTCTGGACCACGGTCTGCATACTTTGCTGCATAGTACCTTGCAATAGCCCTTGATTCTGCACAAATCAAGATAAAAAAAGGACATTGGACGACCCATCAACCTTACATTGTTGCATCACTATCAAAGCAATAAAAGAATCAGAGATCAATTTCACAAACACATCAAAAGAAATCCCTTAAAAGGGAAAAAGAAATAAAGAAGAAGATGAATTATAGATTTGTTAGGTAGTATACAATGGAATAGTAGATTGGGAAAATTTTGTTAGGCTCTAATTATGGCTTTTGTCTGTTATACGTTGATTATCAAACAAGAGGGGCAGGGGGAATCCCCAAAAATACTTTAAAGATTACATTTTTGAAAAAAATTTAAGTAATTTTATAAATAATTAACAAAAAAAAATTGTTTTTGCTCCAGAAAATTATTTTAATCATATTTATTAAAATAGATAGATCTCATTGTAAATAACCAATTCAAAAAGAGTGGAGGACGGTGATGATCGAATCCGGTACACCGAGACTTTGATATCGTATAAAAAATTAATTTAACCCAACAACTTAAGCTTTTAGGTGAGGCTACATTAATGGTTTTATATTTTTCAACATTCATTAACTTTTTTTATTATTATAATACAACTGATTCGTTTTTATGTAAGTGCGATAAAAAAAAATTCTGTAATAAAAACAGAAATACTAAACCTTAATAAAATGAAGATAATATATACGAGTATGAAGGAAATCGTTCATCACTTCTTTCGGACCATTCTTATACTTAAATACTCGTACAGACTGTTATATATGGATCCGGCTGTTACATATAAAAATTAAATTCTATCAAATGTAAGCTTGCTAATTGCTATCATATATATAGTGTTAAACTTTTGAAGATCCCAATATTAACAGAGACGTGGATTAATTGGTAAAAATAATTGCGTGGTAGCTCGGATTGCATCTCGACCATATGAAATGAGTATATATATGAAGTATGAATATGGCCTTTGGTATTATTATTAATTTATTATTGTAGATACTTTGGATTCAATTGGTTAGGAACTTTATAGTATTAAGGTTAAAAATAAATTTTATTAATAGATATAAATAATAAATATCAATAGTAAAAATGCGTGATATATCTACAAAAAAAAAAAAAAAGTGCTTGATAAGGATCAACATTGAGATTATTAAGAAGTGTTCTAAATATATACTTTTTGGATAAGTCATGTGTAGGGTGATACGCGACTGAACGCGCACACTCCCCATATTTAATTCGTATTAAATTGATAAATAATTTATCAAAATAATTAAATGAATAAAATGTTTAGAATTTTGCATTGGATGGGTAAAATGCAGTAAATATTGTTAGATCTAACAAATTGTTAGTTAATAAATGTTTTGTAATAAGCTAATATTCATATCCTTTCACAATTTTATAAGTTAAAAAAATAAAATAAAAATATATTAGTAGATATAAATATATATATATATATATATATATATATATATATATATATATATGAAAAAAAATGTGTATTAAATTGCTTGTAAAAAAATTAAATTGGTGAATAGTTTCTAATTTTGCTTTATATGGGTCACAATAACCGTGGAATGTTTTTTTTAACATGAGAAGATCCATTTTCAAATACTATTTTACTGTTAGTTTCAATTTTACTAATATAAGAGAATTTCGTGTTACCAGGGGGGATTTTTGGTGTATATTTTTTACAAGAAGTAGAATCCTTTGACACGAGTGTCAAATTTGAAATTTGACATCTCATCTGATAACCATTAGATCAAAAAAGATCAACGACTCTAATTTGGAAGCATGTGACACTATTGATCTTTTTTAATCTAATGACTATTAGATGAGATGTCAAACTTTAAATTTGACATCAGTGTGAAAGAATACTACCTCTTTTTACAAAGTTTCTAAAACTAAGTTGTGTAACTTTTGAATGGGCACAAATTAAATTAAGATAAATAAAAATGGAGTGACTTTAATTGTTAAAGCCAAATATATTTTGGGTGCTTGCTTACCAAAGAGCCTGAAATCACCATCCTCCACAACCGGAACTTGACCGAAGGGCTGCAAGAAATTGAACTCCCATCAGGTACGCAAGTAACTCAAATTGGAAAAAGGTATACATGATTGTTATATCATTGGAGGAAAGAACAACTTTACTATAGATACCGTGGAGAGGACACAAAGATAATGAAAGGGAAATAAAATATGTGGATCCCACTATTTTATTGGGTCTGAAGTAGTATCTCTATTTTTCCAGTAACATAATATTTATAAAACCTATTGAAAAATTACATGAAAAGTTCTTATGCAAGAAAATCTCTTAAAATATAAGCTGAATCTCCAAGTCAAAAGTATAAACACAGAAATGACAATAAGAACAAAAAAAAATAAAAATGAATGATTCTATATAAGTATATAATCCATAGAAATTAAGAAAATTTAGTCAAAATATCTACTCATTCTAACAAAAATTCTGGAAAAAAAAAAATAGCAATTGAAAATTCATAGACCTTAATTAAGCAAATTAAGGTACATTCACTCGACCTGTCTGAGAAGGAAATCAGGTCGCTTTTGTTCTCCTTGATCAAGATCAACATGCACAAGTTCAAAATCTACCCCTTTCTCTAAGAGGCAAGCTAACACCCTTTGAGGGCATACTGCTCTTCCTGAACCATAGACCTTCACCACCATTTTCTCAGCTTTGTTAGGCAAATTGAAAAACTTTGTTGAACTTTTTTCGAGCTTAGAGTGATTGTGGCATCTGGGGTGCCACCAATGCCTAATATATATAGAAGTAGCAGTAGTAACTAGTAACTAGTGGAAGTTATCGCACTTTGTTATGCTTTGTGCTCTGTAAGACAAGTACACTAACTGAAGGGTGCAACCAGCAGCATGGGGGTTGCCACGTGATGACTTCTTCGTCCCCATTATGATTTATGACATGTGGGTACCTGGAAAGTACTAGATTTTGACGTGCGCAATCAGATTTTTTTTAGAAAAAAAAATTTCGCCAGTTCATTCAAAATTTGACTAATTCGATTACCTATATTTTTCATTTTCAATGTTCTAATTTAAAACTTCTAGTCAAATAATATCCACAAAAAAAACTTCTAGTCAAATTATCAGAAATTTATTGATTATTTGAATTAATAATTACTATTTTATTTTTTTAATATTATTTTGTTCCAATGTGATGTATTTATTGAAACTTTAAACACTTCATAGTTCTTATTATGAATCTGTTTCGTATTTGTTTTCTTCTAAGCCAAAAATTATTTTGAGCTAAGTTAAAAAATTAATTTAAAAAATAAAGATATTTATTTTATGATTATATAAAATTTGATGATGTTTGTGGTGTTTTGAAGATGGAAACTGGAATGATCTATTATTGGGTAAAAGCACTCATCTAAGACTGTTTAGGCAAAATAATTGTCCAATTAAAGTTGATTGGATAAGTTTTTTCAAATTAATACAATAAAACATGTCACTAGTATTGACGGGACGGATACTATGTCAGCGTCATGTAGGAAGTTCCATCACCGTAAAATTTCGGAAGGCCACAATTTTTAACTTGGGTATCCAAATCAGATGATTTTTTTTATTTCACGTAACTTTTCGAGATCTATGCAATAACACCTCATTTGACATTTTTTATCTCCCACAAACATTGTTCGAATTTGTAACAAGGGTATCACAATCACAAGAGCATTCAAATCTAGAAGCTCCTAAGTTTTTTCCAAACCAACATCATAAGTAGCAACACATGCCATTGATTGACACGTTTTATTTATGTAAATGATGTTATTTAATTCTTTTTCTTATTTTTCAACTATCCAACAATAATAAATAATGACAGTGGTTTCCTTTACATCAACGCACACAGTAACAACGGATAACAATATTTCTTCTTATGAAAAGCCCTAAAGTACTTATCTCGTTGCTGAAAAACCATTGCCTCATAGGCTAACCGTGAGAGAAAAATAGGCCAAGAAATCAAAGGCACGTGTTGCAGCTCATTGTGTTGGTTCGGAAAGAACTCGGAAACTTTTGGGTTTAAACGCTCTTGTGGTTGTGGAACTATTATTGCAAATTTGAACTATGTTTATGGTAGATAAAATATGTCAAATGAGGTGTCATTGCGTAGATCTCAAAAAGTTATATGAAAAAAAAAAAATCACCTGATTTGGATAACAGAGTCAAAAGTTATGGTCTTCCAAAGTTTTACAGTAACGAGACTGCCTACATGGCTAACATGGCATTAGTCCCTTCAGGATCATTGACGAGTCCCGTCAGTACCAATGACGTGTTTGACTGCATTAGTTTGGAAAAACTTATCCAACCAAATAATGGTAGCTTAGTTGGTGCATAGGAGCTGAGCAGGTGGGGTGAGAGCATGTGTTCGATCCTCTCCAGTATCATCTTTGGGAGGGGTTTAAAGCATTAATATTGGACGCGCCCCTAACTCTGGATTAATCCAAAGGGAACCTATAGAATTACAGGGGGATAATCTCCCAAAAAAAAAAACTTATCCAATCAGCTTCAACTGAGCAATTCTTTTGTCCGACAATCTTAGAAGGGTGTTTTAGCCTCTATTATTGGAATAAATCTTTAGTGCATCAGATGTACCGAAGATTCAATGCATCTACCCAATCCTTAGTGCATCAGATGTACCGAAGATTCAATGCATTTACCCAATCATTTTGTGACTCGTGGACAAAAAAAAATCACATCATCAGATGATGTGATTTTTTTTTTGTCCACGAGTCACAAAATGATTGGAAAGAGATCTGATGCACTAAAGATTTATTCCTATTATTGCGGTAAACGATAAATATAATAAGGGTAAAATTAAAAGATAAAATAATAATTTCAAAAAATTAGCATACATCTCAAAAAAATAATTCCTTCTGAATATTTTTATTATTATTCTTCATAGGGAAAGCTCTTTTTATAATTAGATATTTATTAAAAATGTATTTCACTAAATTTCTATGTTTGAGGGGAACAAGAATTAAATATAAGACAGTGACTACATTGCAAAATCAATTGATTTGATTACGGAGCGAGGATTTTTACTTCAGGTAACATTTGCTGATCGAGACTAAAAAAGAATTCGTTTTTTTCTTAAATTATAATCAAATATGCACGACTCTTCCAAATTTAGGTAAATTTTAAAAAGTATAATTTTAAATAAAAATATATTTTAAAAAAAAATTATAAATAGTGTGTACATAATTAATTTAGACAGAATTTAAAAAATATATCAAAAGAGATATTTTTAAAATTATAAAATATTGGTATAAAAAAATGATATATATATATATATATATATATATATATATATTTATGTGAGAAAAAATGTTTCTCCTGGTCACAGAAGATAATATTATCTCCTGCAAGTGTGCAACTCTAAAACAATGTTGTTTTTGAGTTTGAGATTAAAAATAAAAGGTATTTTAAAAATTTTATTCTTCTTTATATTATGAATTTTATCAAAATATCTTTTAATTTTAATTTTTAATTCTAAAACAATGTCGTTTTGCTAATGCTGAAAATAATTTTATCTCGTGTGATGGAAGAAACTTTAATTTCATATATATATATATATATGGGGCAAGATCATCTTATATCAATGTAAGAATAATAAATCTTACATCGAATCTTAATCATTGATTTTGGAGCATCTAACAGTTTTAATTTATTGAGAATTAATAATTAATTAATGAGTGGTACCCAATAAATCTCAATCATTAGATATACAGAAATCAACGGTTAAGATTTGGTACAAAACTTATTATTCTTACACCGGAGTAAGGTTATCATATATATATATATATATAGTAAAATCATTTCTACAGCAGCTTTACGTACAACAATAATAGGTGTATGGTTATGATTCTCCACATTAATGCTTTCATCTTTTGTATAGTTATGATTCTCTGCATTTAATGCTTTCACACACACATATATATATATGGCAAGTATTTGACTGCTGCACGTACAACAGCTATAGACATATATATATATATATATATATATATATATATATATATATATATATATATATATATATAGGGAAACATGTGTGTCATTTTAAGTGAGAGAAAGAGATAGATAAAGGAAGAGGCAGATCTAGGTTCATTACAAGGGGGCAAGTGCCCACCCTTAAAATATGATGCAAAAATATAAAAATATTCTTCTCTTAAGATTCAAATTTTCCCAATTTGATTTAGGGGTAGAATATTGTAACAACCAATTAGGGTTACTACCAATCAATTTCACCGTTAGATCGATTATTTTGATCCAATGGTTATATTTATTTCTATCTTTATATGGTTATGATTCCTCATATTTAATACTTTATATTTATTTTCACTTTTGTATGATTATAATTTCTCATATTTAATGCTTTTACATTAAATATGGGGATCATAATCATACAAAGATAGAAATAAATATAACCATTATAATCGATCTAACGATAAGATTGATTGGTAGTAACATTGTTAGTAACTCTAGTTGGTAGTTACGATATCATACCCCTTTAATTTTTCTTCTTTTATTTTATTTTTCAGTGAGTTTTTTTTTTCTCTCCTCCACCTTCATTATCCAAACCTAACAGCAGAGAACTCTATTCCATACCCATCGTTTGCATCTACATACTAATTATATCCTCTCAAACCTCCTCAATTTCTGTTATTGGAAGTTGGAATATCTGCTTCTTCTTCCATCGTCGGACCAGTTGAGTTGCAATCTGTCCAAATCTAGATCTAAACTAAACTCAGCCAGCCGGTAGCTGCTCGCAAGTCACGTTCCAGACCAGACTCAGATCTATATGTACTTGAACTTATATATTAATTGTCCACCCTTCATTAATTTTCTGGATCCGCCACTGGATAAAGGGGGAGAGAGTAGACCAAAAACATAAAGATGTGAGTCTCATCTCTTTGTGAGAATCAAATGATATAAATTGTGTAAGGACAAACATTTATATATATATTTGGAAAATTGAAAGCGGTGTAACTCAATATTAAATCTTTGCGTCAACACAGACGTTGTGCAAACACCATAATCGTTGTTATCAAAAAAAAAAAAAACACCATAATCGTATAGCATAAATATGTGCGAGACAAGTCCGCGCGAGGCCAATACCGACAATGGAAGATGGTACATACCACATAAATCCTCCGTTGTTCCTCACCCGCGGTTATCATTTTTTTATCTTTACTTTAAAAGAGGAAAGTTGTTGACAAACTTTTTCTTGAAACTATTCCATATGTAACAAGTAGCTTAATTATGCACATCCATTTAGCCTAATTAATCAAACAAACATAACTTAAGTTCAATAAGAATTTTTTATGATAATTAGCGGGGAAAGTTTGTGTAATTCATTAAGAGTGGGTAAATGTTTAAGTCCTTATCGTTTCTCAAGCAGCTTGAGATAACTTTATCTCTGACTACTAAATCATAACCGTACAAAGATGAATCAATGGTAATAAAGGAAGAAAGAAAAAGAGAATCATAACCATTCAAAGAAAAATCAATTAATATAAGGAAATAAATAAATAAAACGACGTAGTTTTGGGGCGACCGGAGATAAATATATCTCAAGCAGCTTGAGAAATATTTTTCTCATATATATATACATACATATATATATATATATATATATATATGGTTTAATGATTTTA